AATCTTCTTCCCCTCCCCCTCAACCACACCGCTCCCGGTCGTCACCCCCCGACCGAGGTAGGGCAGCGAGCCCAGACACCACCCAAACCGCCCGATCCCTCATTTTGAGGCTGTGTATTGCGCCGAGTTTGTCAGACGTTATCCTGTCCCCCCCGCCCTATTTTTGAAATCTACTTTCTATTCTAGGTGCTTGAATGACAATAAAAAAAATTGATCATTATTAAAAAAAAATGAATAAATTATCTGCTGCCGTCTTGAGCTCAGAGTGGCGAGGGGCCACAGCCGGGCATGCAGGGAAAAACAGCCAGATCCGTCTTCCACGGCGCGCCTCCAAGCATCCGTGCATTCGCTGCCGGAGCGATCCTTCAGGCGATTGATCGCGTGGAGCCGTGCGCACCGTCGCTTGAGGGAAGACGGGGCGAAACGCGCGTCGAGCGAGATGGATGGCCCGCGGCGTCTGCGGTGACGTTGTGATGACGACGACGACGACGACCCTGAGATTGTTGGACCGAGGTGCCCCGACAGGCATGCGTCAGGGCACGAAATGAAGGGCACGAGGAAAGCGCCGCATCCTAGGCGGTTATGGGGCACGTAACGGCCCTCATTCATCTCGTCCCCACGTCGCTCCCTTTGAAGCGCACGGCAACATCCTCCAAGTTTGGAATCCGCCTGCTTGAGGTTAAGCGGGATGACAGTATAAAAAAAATACAAATATTGTTGGCGGTCCGTGAACGGATTTCACGCATGCGTAAGATACAGAGATTTAAACGAGCGATTGGAGTTGCGCAAGCTGTGTACATGTCAGTCCAGCAAATTCACAAGGAATTTGTGTATTTTGCAGTTAAGCGGACTTAAGTAAGAAGAGGCTTAACTTATACAGTATTCGAATATGCTTACAAAGCATTCAGGCATTCAGTAATTCCCTAAAATATCATAAATAAAGCAATGTTAACACCTTAACAAATATTTAGAAACGTTTCAAAACCAATGCAACTTTGTGAAATTGATATATATTTTTAATTGGGCATCGAATACTCCGGGGGAAAAAAATATTCCATAAAATCTCAAATTATTTTCCAAAGAATCGTGCAGTGTTTAAAAATAATGGGATGTCCTCTCAGATTTTCTCGGAAATAAAAACGTGTTTATTACTTTCGTTTTAAAGTTGGGTAATTGTTTCGATCAACCGAGCGAGACGCCCCATTACATCTGACAGTCATGTAGCGTGTTAACAATATCAATAAGACCGCAACCATTACAAGACAATTGTGCCTTCCTTAAACAAACTAAACTGCAGAGATTTGTTTTTATCGTTGCAAAAAGTTAAAGGTGCAGCCCTGCACATTTTCATTGCTTACGCCACGGCTGGCGGAAGGTCCTCCACTCGGGGGAGCTCTAAAGAACGCCTCTGGAGGGCATTTATTCTTCCCCTTCTACGCTAGCCAGACGTCATGGAAAAGGTGGTATACACCCACACTTTACCCCACCAGACGCAATCTGCCGATCGCCTCAACTGTGGTGCACCAATTTATACTGCGAGGTGGACCAGAGGTGGGGGGTGGGGCAGGAGGGAGCATGTTTAAATGAACTCGCCCCATTGTTTCAACTGCCGCGCTGGGAGAACGGACGGAGTCAGGCGGTGACTTCTGGTTTGCAAGTCCAGCACGGTGCGAATCGTCGCACCTCCAGTAAGCGCTTGGCCACGCACGGTGCGAACTAAGGGGTCATCCATTTAGTACGTATGCATGGAGGGGGGAGGAGGGGAGGTTACCCAAATACGTACCGCTTGCGTATGGGGGGGGGGGGTATACTGATATTGTTCGTACGCATAGGAAACGGGGGGGGGGTGAAGCCTCGATAATAATTTGTCTACATTGGCCTTCAAATGAGTTAGATAGTCCGACGGTGGACCATCTGTTTGCTTAAAACACGTGAATATTATTAATCCTTGATCGTTTCTGCGTGGATTAAATACCAGCCGTTCTTTTGGATTCGGGGACGGGGGGGGGGGGTCATGCGTAGTTACGCAGGTGGTGGGGGTGGGGGAGTGTAAAAAGTCCGCGTGCGCACAGGGAAAGGGGGGTCAAGTTTTGACAGATGTTTGCGTACCGACTCAACGAATGGCCCCTAAAGCTTCTCCGGTCATTTTTTAAACACCCCCCCCCCTCCCCTTTCCTCTCCCGTGTTTTCGTTGCGCAAGTCAGACGCCTAACTTAGCGGCACCTTCTCGTAGCCGTGAGGCACGGAGGAGTGTCAATCTTGGCAAGCCAGCTGGGCTCTGCCTCCCTCTCTCTCTCTCCACCCCCGTGCGGCCGGTCAACTCGCCATCGTTTCGCCAACCGTTGGGCCACGATGGGGAGCAGCGCGTCCGTGCGCTGCTCCCAACAAAGCGCCGGAGTGCGCTGCCTGCCCCGTTTGTCTCCTCAGCGTGTGCGGAAGCCGCGCGCGGGCCAAGGCAGCTGGTTGAAAGTTATTCATGAGTCGCAAGGACACTGGGAATGAGTAGTTTCGCTTGCAGTGAGGTTGTTCGCCATAGGCTTGGGCAAACGCTTGGACATGGGAGGAGGTACGAAGAGAAGGCTCGTGTGTGTGATCTGTACATAGTTCGGTGAGGCTTCCGGAGAGCTGGAGTTGGTGCGGAACCTAGTCACTATTTCTCAATAAACCGAATTGTTGGATTTTGAACGTTCTCAATTGAGGGGCGGCTGTTTGGAAAAATGCAAAGCTTTTGGGGGGACCCATCTGAATCATCTCTCTCAGTGACTGCACCCTCGTTGATGTGGTAATTGCCACACGTCTCTCAACTGACAACTGCTTCTTTAAGCTTTTACAATTTGAATGCTTATGCTCACTTATTTGTTCAATACAGCTTCCAAACATGTTCTGTTTGTGTATTGTGCAATGCCTTTTATAGAGCAAACCTCATTTCAGTGATGGTAAAATGGTTCTCCGGATTTATGGCCTTCTGTGTTCCTTTCTTTCTCCCTGCGAAGGTTAAAAACTCAAACGCCACCATTGTTGTGCTGCGTTGGAGATTCGCGAGAGCAGACGCAACGTTGGGATTTCAGGCGCGATTTCCAGTCCGAAGTGAAAATCTATAAAAGGTTAACATCCATTATTATTAAAAAAAAATTGTAATGAGGCAGCAGTTTGCTATTGGGTCGATGGAACTGCGTGCGTGCGCATGCACTCGCTATGCAGGGCGAACATCAGTTCGTCGTGCGGGTTTCGTCGCACTCGGCTTCCCTACGTGCCCGCCACGGCGGTGGCGATGCACGTCGCGTCGAGACTCGAGAGAGAGCGAGCGAGCGAGAGTCCCAGGTGTCCGCCAGCGTCTCGGTTGTGATTCTCCCGAATGGTTCCGTCGCGGGCCGTTGAAGGTCACTCAAGCTTTTCGGGCCTCGGCAAACAGTTCATCTTGGAGAAGGGGAATGACGTGGCCGACGTTGCAACCGCGCAGTTGAAGCCACCGTCTTAATTCGGCCAACAACAACAAAAAATAAAACTCGACACGTTCGTCAATTGCGCACCGTGGCATTAAGAGAGAAAAAGGTGTTGTAATAGGTGACGTTTAGGGCAACCGCTCTGCTCCACAGAACACAGTGCCCAGAGAGAAGGCCATGGACCTGGAGGCGTTTTACCTCCATGGCCAATGCCTCTCGCAGGGCTGCCAGGGGTGGTGGTGGGCACCTTTATGGGGGAAGCCTTCATCCAGCAGTGGGCATGGTTGATGTTGATGATGATGACATTGTCACAATTATTATTGGTGGTAAACACACATCGTCACCACCGCTTCTACACTGTTTACTCCTCATCCACGTCACCCTGAACAAGCATCTCAAGCCGCTTTGCGCAGTGTTTACTCAACACCAAGAGCAAATCTGTAAAACTTAATATAATTTGCCTTGCTGTGTGGATACCAAGCATGCCGGCTTCACGGGCACCGTCTTCGATTTTATTGGAACACTAAAACACAACGCTAAAAAAACAACGGAGTGAAAAAATACATTTGTATCGCAGGGCTCTTGGACAGCAGAGACCCCGTGACACGTCGATCAGACCCTAACACAAAATCCACAGGTGCCTTGTTGCAGATCACCCCCGATCAGCACGGTTGGCCTATGTAAGGTGCGAAACAAGTTCAACATACACATAGAGATCTCTGCTTTATTCACCTGAGAAGTGGTTGTAACAATAATATCATTGAGTGGGAAAAACAAGTGGCGTCTGAATGTTTCATTTCACCAGTGTGCATAATTTAAGATAAACAAATTATAGTCTTGTATATTTTTCAGATGGTGCAATGGGAAATTTGTCAGCAATATCAATGGGTACAACCACAGTGAGTTGATTGACAGTTTGTGTGTGGTGGGGTAAAGTGTGGGATGTCTGGCCAGTGTGAAAGAGTAGGCCAAAATAACCTCTAGAGGAGCTCTCCAGAGCTCCTTCTAATGGAAGCCCTTCCACCAGCAGTGTTATTCATAAGCAGTTGCAGGGCTGCACATTTAGTCTTCTATGGTTTTCAACAAGATCTTGGGAAAGTTATGGAACATTCTTTAATTACATGTCGAAAAGTAAAGTTAATTCATGAAACAAGAGATGGTGGCTGACAAGATGAGCATACAAACGAAGCAGAAAAGATCAAAGCTACTGTCATTAAGTTTACATTCAAAATTGTGTCGGTGCACAAAATGTAATGAATTTGACACCATAAATTGTCATCGGCCATTCTTTTAATCTTTTATTATTGTGTACCTGGTTCTCTCTTTTTTTATTGTACACATCGGTCTCTATGTCTGTACCGACGTTCACCCACTCGTCTCGTCCTCTGCGACTGTACATCCACTTGCTCTCTGTCTGCCTGCCAATTCCATCCATCCATCTACCCATCTCTGCCTCTCTCTGCCCCCCCCCCCCGTGTCTGTGAGTCTCCCTCGCTGTTCATCTCTCGGTCTCGCCTTCATGTGTCGTCGCCGTCTGACGTCGTCTCACTCTTGCAGGGCGGCACAGAAGCTGAGCTTGACGGGCCGCATGATGAAACGGAAGCAGCGAGCGGCCCCCGCTCATGCCCCGGCGGAGCCTCCCCCGAGCCCAGGCAGCTTCGCGTGGGCCCTGCGCTCCGCGGCGCCCCCCGTGCCGCCCTGCCTCCTGCGCGCCGCGGGGAAAGCCCGCGACAACCCGGGCGCCGGCAAGGTGAGCAGTGAAATTGACTTGGACGCACGTGAATGCTCCGGCATCATGCGGTGCCGTGAAAATTCAGCATTCTAAGTGGCAATGCAGTAGAATCCAGGCTGTGGTCATCCGCGCCCCAGTGCCGACAGGTCAGCCTGTGGCCAAGTCACCGGAACTGCGCCCGATCTCGCGAACTAAGCAGGCACACGGCCTGCATGAAGCCATATACGGGCGATCACGATGCCAACGGGTCCTTATTGGAGCTACGTGTTGGGAAGCAGAGGGCACTGCAGAAGCATCAACTGTTCAAGTGCGCTTCTGTGCTCCGTTGTCTCTTCTGCCCACATTTCGCCAACCCGCATTTACCAGCATGGTGAAGCATGGTCACGTAATACATAACCCACAACCGGCAGTGGATTGAGAAAGGGCTGTACACGTACACGTCAACGGGTTCGCCTTCACGCAGCAGACTCGTGCTAAGCTTTATCTCTCCGTCTATCACGCAACATCTGGTACTGACACAGTAACCGCGTAGGCAATGAGTGATGGCCATGGCAGATGGGTGAGGTGACAGTGACTCAGGTGAGATTGGTGCCAGGCAGGTGACTTAAAAAAAAATAAAAGATGGATGGTGTGCAGCGACTATTTCAGGGGCTTATTTTATTTTTTTCTCTTCTCCCTGTTCCGGGATTTTTAGTTCTCGAAACACAACCGGATTGACCGAGTGCACCATTAAAATAAGTTATCGCATCGATTGCCATAATGCTTTTAGCAGATACAAATCTCACTGAGGAATATGTTTTGAAAGAGAGACTCGTGGCACCAATACTACATAATGAGCCTTTCGTGTTTATTTAATAAATGTATGCAAACATTTAAATGTGAGATTTTGTCGATGACGGTATTGTTGTTGTTGCTATCAGCCTGCAACGTTGTCCAACTCTCTAATCGTGGCAGTAACACCACAGGGTCTTTAGCTGGATGGTGGTGGCGATGCACGCCTTTAATCCAGCACTGGAGGAAAGGTTTGGTGGACCACACAAACGCGTGAAACTCTCATTTCCGTGGGCATAAAGGAGGTGCCATACCCTGACTCGCCAGGAAAGGGCAGTACAGCGAATGTGTGGCCTCATATCCATCTGTCCAACCTGTATGGGACAGTGTTGTCCCCTCATGAGTGTGGGTTTTCTCCGGGTGCTCCAGTTTCCTCCCGCGTGTATAAATGCAGAGCACGGTTGGCACCTCCGATTAGCATGGTTGGCTAACGTACGGTGCAAAAGAAGTTCGACATTAATAGTGATTCTGATTCTGACTCTGACAAACGGCTGCCTTCTTCCCGCTTGTCTGTGCTTCCTCGTGCCCCCGACTCTTTCTCTCCCTTGGAGAGTCAGCGAACACAGCCCGGTGCGTCACAAGCTAAAATAATTGTCATTATTATTATTATTGAACATCAATTTCACAGCATATGGCAAACTTTGGTAAAGCCCAACTACGTTTCCCCATTTAGCTGCTGAGATCCGCGTATAATCCTCTAACCACTTTACTCTCCAGCCACCTGGAAAACTCATTAAGATTGTGTTCAAGTCTTGTCACCTTCAAATTTACAACATTAAATATGTTAGCACTTTACTGCAGAATGATCACGTGCAAGCAGATTAACCGCCAGTCTTTATTTTCTCTAATATATCCTTAATTACCCTGTTAAAGATTCCCAATTTGTATTACTTTACAGGTCATTAACACTGGATGGACGTGTTTGTTTTCCAAATTTGTTTGAGTGTCCTATGAGTTTGCTTTGCTGGGGAATTGAGTCGCTTCCACATTTATTGCCAGTCGCAATTCCCATGGTGGTGGTGTTACGCTGGAACATTATATCAACGTGTGTGCCGTCCGAAGCTGGGATGTTAATCCCGCTGCTGCTCTGCCTGCTTCTCTCAAGATGCAATTTGCTTCCATTGCGTTCACCAGTTTAGATCTTAATGTCAACTTCATGGTCAACGGTTCCCTGGAGTAGAGGACTTAGGCCCTAACATTCATTTGCTGCCAGTGCGCCTTCAGCTAATAATTAAAAAACATCTCGCAGCAAAATCTACGCCCTGTAAGACAAAGCCAAAATTCATAGAAGATTATCATTAATTGCATCGTTTGAGCAAGCTGTGACTGCATTATGAGGCAAAGCAATGCAAACTTCCATTTAATAAAACTGAACAATATGCGGAACGATAGCGTCAAATAATGTTTTTTTTTATCAAAACATGATCGTGTGCAATATTCCGCACACTGGACCTGCAAAGCAGAGGTCGCCGGTTGAATCTCACGGCGTGGAAGTTGCAACTGTGAGCAAGTTGTTTTAAAGTCCACCCCACCCCTGTCTCTGTCCACCCAGCAGTATAAATGGGTTCACCACGGTTAGTCGATCAGCAGGTCGCTTCTGGTAGAGTAAAGTTTGGGTCCTCGAACCTCTTCCAAGGCGTCTAGCCAGCGTGTAAAATTAGACTAAAACACCCTCTGGAGGTGCTTCTCTCGAGCTCCCTGTAGTGGGAGGCCTTCCTCCAGCAGTGGCGTGACCAAGCAAATTGCAGGGCTGCACCTTTACCCCTCCCCCCCAACCCAGAAGTAAATTGCTTTGAATTGTCACTCTTGGGTTGAACTATCCCTATGCGGTATTCAAACACGAGGAGCAAAACAAGCAGCCGCGCTCCGTTTCCGCGTGTTCCTCTGTCCTAGCGAAAGGTAACGTAAACACTTGTGTGGGATAGGAACGGCGCGATGTTTTCTCAGCTTGTTTGCGAGACACCTGCAGCTGTATTTTCTTATTACGTGTGTATATATTTTATATCCCGGCTGCTCCTATATAGTACGCTTTCCCAGACAGTGCCTTGTCTGGCCGCTAAAGTGTGCACCTTTCATCCGGTGCCAAGAGCCCCGCACCCCATGCCCCCCCCCGCACCCCCTACGTGCTCTCTACAACATCCGGAAATTGGGGAGGGCGCTTACTGCCGTGTGAAGTTGAGGGCTTCTTTCATCGAAGTTGCCGAGCCAAGGGCCTCTATAACCTGGCAGCAGCATCACGCCGCGGCAATCGTAGTACACGTACACTGAATATGATGTGGAGAAACGTGGATGTTTTGTTTACCGTTCACATTGTCATCGCCATGCTTTGAGGTCTCGATCTCGCTGAGTTTGAAGATCAGTAATAATACGCCTTTATCGAGGATGTTTAACCATGAGATAGTTTCCATTGACGTGAATAATAATATTATGTTGGCTTTAGAATGCATGTAATTTTAAATAATATTGATGTATATTATTTCACTATGAGCTTAGTAACCCAAGTTCGATTCCCAGCCATGACGAATATGAATGGCGAGTGACCATCAGAACCGCTTCTGGGCCCACCGCTTTCACAAGCCTGTGTCGGCAATTATGCCTACATGATAAAGCTTAATAAAAAAAAACATCCCATTAATCCTGCAGTGGATTGTTTACTATTGTAATATGTGAGCATTATTTTATATATACTGTATATACCGTACATGATAATTAATCTACATGTTTCATTTTCTGGGTGACGGGACCATTCAACTTGCATTATTGGGTCAATAAAATATGCACATATTTGTCAGTAATGGTCCTATGGACAGACTGTCCCCTACCATAAGAATATTGAATGTATATCTCTGGCTTAGGCCGGCCACTTGAGATAAGTATTGCCGCTTTGCAGGGAGACATTTGTTGTTTTGGGATGTAATCATGATGCTGACGACGCCATTCACACGGTAAATACATGGTTTGGCAAGTCTATGTAAAGACATACTGTCGTGAAAAAAATCACGTGTATTTTTGGCAGCAGAGAAGCAATTACTGCGTTATTGAAGATTTAAGTTGTATAACTTTAAACAAATTGCGGGAAATTTGCCAAGGACATGAGTAATCCCATTATCTTTTGTACAACAGGTGCAGCGCTGCTTTAGAGAGAAGCACGTTTGAATTCTGGGTCGAGAAATACTGGAATCCTCTGCCCAAGCACTGTCTGCCACAGATCCTTGGCTGCTTGAAATGAGCCACGTAAAGGTTTCGCCGATCCATACTCGTGAGAAACATTCAATATCAGCCCAAGAGCCTGAGGGCACTCAGAAGAATTGAAGTCTGATGCCGACCAAGATCCTGAAATGTGACAGCTCCCAGTTGCATTATCTCTCTCATGCTTGATGTGACATTTTTGTGGGTTTTTTATTCCTCTTCCTACTTTGCTTTTTTATATATAAAGTGTAATATGCAGGCCTTGGAAAATATATCATTCTGCCTTTTCTTTAAATCCTTATTGAAAATGTTTAAACGCTGAATCTAAATTAAAGGGGCCCTTTTACAAAACCTGCGTATGAGCTGCATTTTCCCCCTTTGTCAATGGTTTCGATTAAATTTTTTTTTGTACTGAATTGCAATGCAACCGCGTTTCTCGCCTCTCTGTGAAAATATCTTGACAAACATTGTGGCTGACTTAATAAAAAATGGTAGCATTTAATACAATGATTATGCAAATGAAGGATTATATGGACAGTAATACATTAATGCAATTTCATTGCTTGCAATTAAGCATTTATATTGCATAATTAAAATTTTAATTGTGATTAGGAAATGCCATTTGATGGGGGTGGAGTAATGTCATGTTATCCATCAGTAAAATAGCCCTCCACATATAACTAACGGGACCAACACATACAATATTTTTTTTGCTTTGGTTTCGCATGCATGCAGAGAGGATTCGGCAAAAAAACTAAACCTGATTGTCATACAACCAACAATTGTATAACATTATCCAATGACATCAACCGTGATGAATACATTGAAAAATGTGTCTACTGCGATTTGCTGCATACTTGCAAAAAACATTTCTTTCTTTAAAATCTTTTGACTGTTACTCATAGCCAAATAAATATCATCCCCCAAAATTATGATGTCTGAGATTGAAAGAGCACGTGGGAGTGTGTGAGTAGGCAACATGTGGGCTGTGGCTTTGGCCAGGGTAGAGAGGCGCTGAGTGAAAACGTTGTCCACAGGAAATATTCACATATAGCAGTGCGCCATGAGTACAAAGACAAAGACCACCCCTGTATAGCTTACACAGGTGGTTGGGGAAAGCGCTGTTGGCATCTCCAACTTCTTTGGGATTCCCCAAATATATATTTTGCCCGTTGCTCTATTAGTCTGCCTGCCCCTCTCTCTCTCTCGACATGTCTGTGTCTCTATGCCTGTCACTCTTCATATACGCAAAGTGTTTCGTCAGTCTTCATTTGTCCCTCCCTTAATATCTCAATGTCCATCTTTGTCTTTGTCTCTATAAGTTCGTTTAATTCATCTCTCTCGATGCATTCTCTCTTTGTTGTCTCGATTCGTGCCTGTGTTTTTGTGACTTTTCAAGCCGACTCCGCCTTGAAAACTCGCTTCGGTGCGTAAACTTTAGCGCTGGGGAGACACAGGCGGCCACACCACCCCCTGTGCCAAGTCGGCCTTAACAGGTTCTTGCTAGAAGCACCCACCACGTGAGTCTGGACGCCCGTTCGTGGAACCATCGTCTTTGTCTGTTCAAATATCTCTCCGTATCCCCGTGTCTGCCTCTTGCCATGACTCTCTAGGAACTTTGGTTCTACTGTCTGCTGTGGGCTCTGCTTGGATAGTTTTGACCGTGCGTCATGTGTGATCGCTTAAAAGGAAACCGAGGCTTTCCCCTCATACCCTGCAATATGCATACTTCTCCCAGAGATGCCGGAGAGTTGGGTTTCAGCTTGGGCAGCGGCTGCCACCGCAGATTATTTTGCTGTGTTTCTTGATTCATAGACAAAAGGTTGAATATTCCTCTGAATTTACTCACCATTGGTGACAGAGATGCACTTGCGATGTGAAAGCGGTAAATACATTGCTTTTTTTACTTTAAAGCCAATAAATTACGTAATTAATTTTACCTTGTTTGTCATTATCCCAAGGGGTAAATGCTATTTTGGCTTCTCCATAATGACACGGATTTCACAAATTGGACGTTTTCCATAATGCATTGACAATAGCGTTATCTCTTTTTATTGGGGCAGATTTAGCGGCAACACCCCCTCCTATTGCGACTGTTTATTCACACACACACACAAGGGCTACTTCCCTCCTCATTTCTCATTCTTTTTATCTCACTGAGCTCTCTCATTACAGCTTTGCAGCTCCGCTCCCCCATGCCCCTTGCTTCTCCTGCTCTTGTCCATCGCTCTCTCACACTCTCTCTCATTCGCTCTCTCGCACTCCACGCTCCATCTCCGCAATCCCTCCCAGCCCTCCTTACCGACTTGACCTCCTCCTTTCCACGTGAAGGTGCTTTGGTGGCCAGATGTTAACTCCCTAGCCTGGTATGCAGGAGTTTGTGGGTTCGATCCCGGCCTCTGACGCCTGTATATTTGGAGTTTGCGTGTCTCTCTTCCCGTGGTCATGTGGATTTTTCTCTGGGTCCTCCGGTTTTTCCCTTCACATTTAGAAACATGCATTTAGAGTATTTGGCTGCTATAAATTTCCACGTGATAAGCCGCTTCGTTGAGCTATCACTTTTGACCAGGTCGCTTCTTAGAAAGATCCACGTAGCTCAGTGGGCCTTACCTGGTGAAATAAAAAAAAAATCTTCAGTTTAGTGTTGCAGAGGAAGTCCCGAGAGCCTCCCTGTCCATCTGCTGCCCGTTTGAGAGTAAAACGATCGTAATAATGGGATGTGCTGGCAGCCAATGCTCGCAACGCAATGCTGCCCGCTCAAGTTAATGGGGCCCAACACTGTCTGTTGTCGAGAGGTCACCTTGAGTCAAAGGGATACGCATACGTATAAAGCTTTAGCCAATCTCCCGCGTTATATTGCATTACCATTATCTGCTAGCTTGAGCTTTTATGTTTTCAAACCGTCGCCCTGTCAAAATAGATCAATTTGAGCTTTATTAAGGTTGGGATGTTACGCCAGTGTTCTGAAGATAGATTCGACTGAAATATCCATTTAGCCCGAATCAAAATGAGTTTGAATTAAGTGCTAGGCAGAGAGAGGGCTAGATGTGTGCGTGCGTGCATGTCCGTGTGGGTTGGTGGTTGGGTGGAAAGGTGGTGCATTGCATTGACATTCTGTATCTCTCACAGCGAAGTGCATGTTTGTCATTAGGGTCACCTTGGCCTGAAATGAGCTTGCAATGCTTGCACATGTCAGCTTGGCTTGAAATGAGTGAGTGATACTTCTGAGGAGAGGGGGTCAAGGTGACCTTCTGGTAGTGGCTTAAATGATGGCAAAAGGAATATAATTCAATGACAAGTTGAATAATTGATCGGCAGGTCCCTCACACATGTGGTGAAGTAAAGTCTTTTCCAAGACGTTCTAACCACAACGTACATTTGGCTCTGCACTTAATTTGATTAAATTCCAGCACTAAGAATGGAAATATTTGTCTCAATGTCGTGCGACCGATATTGCTGACATATGCAGAACAGTGTTGTCCTCTGCTTTGTGGAACGGGGATGACTTGAAGGAATTTTAGAGGTAGCTCTACAGTATCCGCTTCCATCGGCCACTCTTTCACATGAAGGGGTTTGCACTGCTCTGCAAGATATTCGAGTGGAGCCTTCGTCTCATCACACCGATAGTTCAATTTAGAAACACGCGTTTAGAGTGTGTGGCTGCTACAAAGTTACACGTGATGATAAGCCACTTCGTTGAACTATCATTTGTGGCCAGGCCACTTGTGAAAAAGAGCTGTACAGCTCAGTGGGCCTTTCCTGGTAATATACAAATAGTTTAGTTTATAAATTGGGGAGTAATTACCATAACTTTAATCAGGTAAGTAAAAACGTATCATATTTGTACGATGGCCCGACGCGTCGTGCCGTGGCAGGTGAAGGTGATGCTGCGCGTGTGTCCGGCCCGCCGCGACGTCTCCGGCTCGCCGGCACTCAAGGTGGACCCACGGCGGAAGCAGGTCACGCTCTACGACCCCGCCGCCGCGGCAGGGGCCAGCTCCCAGAATGCCGCGCTCCGCCGTGCCGGGGTGGCGGTGCCAAAAATCTTCCCCTTCGACGCCGTCTTCTCCCAGGATGCATCGCAGGCGAGAGATCGTTCCGCCGATTTGCGCGTGCCGACGGAATGTAAACAAGTCGTATGGTGCGGCCGCATTGGCAGTGGCGCACGAGCACAAATGACTAAAATGCTGTCTTTTAAAGGAAGACTAAAATACATGTGATGAAGCTCTGGCTGTAGCCTGATGAGGCTGGTTGTAATCACCGGCAAAATGTCCTACTCAAATTGTACATGTTGTAGGTTTACTCTCCAACAAACTGGAGTGCTGAACTAGTAACGAATTGGCATGTTTTGTTTACGTAATAAACTTTACTAATTGGCTGTGTTGGGTGGTGGCGAGTTTAACGACACATTTCTATTTACCCGATCTAACCCAACAAACCTCTCTTATGAAAAATATATAATATGCAACATGTCAGGCAAGGGCACTTCCCTATGACACATATTGCCCAGTATAATGTTAGTTATTGTTTAAAATCGTCATATAAATTTTTGTTATACTTGCTCGCAGCAATTGCGTGTGAAATAATTGACGATTTTCGATGGATATTAAAGGGTTCATGTAAACGCTGCAGCCACTGGAGCGGCGCTGAATTCATGACAACAGATTTGGCTCTTGGATCAAATCGTGATCTTGAATCGAGACAATTCATCGAATAGAGAGGGATGCATTTACTGGAGGCCTCGCGAAAAGGCTTGCATCTTGGAAGGAAGTGACGAATGAATGGGTGGCGGTATTATTATTATAACGAATGTATATTGCGGGTCATGGTTTATGGTGTCATTGCGAGTTTATGGACACATAGCCAGGTACCGACTTGCCTTGCTCTCATCTACCCTCCACCTACAATGCGCACGAATCCTGTGACCCCATTTCAATAAAAAAACAACTCGCATGGATACGCTCGGTGGCTTTAAAATGTGGCCCCCGACTTTAAAAAAATGGCTCGTGCAGTGGTGGTAAGAGAGTGAGAGAGAGACGTAGCAAGAAAACACGTCCAGCCATTGTGTATTGCTGGGTGGAGACTCATCGTGGTTGTTGGGGGGGAGATAAAAAAACGTGTTGAACAGTGGCAGCCACTTTGTTTTGTGAGTCCCAGTGTGCAATGAGAGATGCATGCGAGTCTCAGGAAACCAGAGGCGATTGGAGCAAAGCTGCACATATGAGATGTTGATTAAAGTCAAATATAATGTTTACTTTGGTCAGAACGCAAAGAAAGGCAGGATTGTCTCATTTGCAAGAGTGACGTGGGGATAGCACTGAAGTGCCACACAGCTAGGTCATCGACCTAATTGTTGTATTCTCCTATGCAGGCTTACCTCATAGTGCTGTAAGTGGGTGTCTCATACACATTATATCTTCATCATCCACCAGCCATTAGTTATATCTTGATGCATTTGCGCAAATGGCAGCGGAAGGAGGACGGATGTTACGTGAGATCACAACATGGATAAGGAGACTGATATGTCCCCTTCACATGTCCGTCCCTCCACATAAAAGTATATTTTAAACGACGCGCCAACAGCCGCATGGCCTTCTGGAGGTGCATACATTGAGCAGCATTTACCCAGTCTCGACTGGTTGTGACGTTCACTGTCTCATGAGCTTTGCTTGACTCATTGCTGTTGAGCTCGCAGATGTAATAGGCAAGAACCCTCTCTTTTAAGATATGGGTCCGAGTTCGACGCACAACTATAGATGGATAACACAAAGTAATCATTAGCGACATTGCGGACAATATAGATAACGCGAATTTGAGGACGCTTGTGTTGTTTCCCATGAGCACTGTTGGATAGAGCGTGTGCAGCCACGCCACGAGGCTAATGCTGGCGATCTGTGGAACAATCTGAGAGTAACAACCGAGTGGCAGCAAGAAAGAGGGAAAAGTGCCTCGGAGGACGCCCACCACGGAGATGGAATGATGCAGATCAGCTCTGGCGCAAGCGCTGAGCGGATCGGATAGCGACGACCAAGGCAGAGGAGGCCTTCACCCAGTATTGTATTGATCTTGGCCGATGATCATGATAAACGTGGGGTCTATCTGAGAGCACCAGATGTTGTAGGTTTGGGAAGGGCAGATGTTTGCCACACCAATGGATTTATAACCCCCCTCATGTGGTGTGGGTTTCCTCAGACTACTCCATTTTCATTTCTCAAGCTCAGCGCTCATCAATGGAACTGGCCACACATCCCGATGGAGGACCATCCTGAAGAAGGCGCCATTTCTGTATACATTATTGGCATATTTTTTTTTCTGGGTAAACTAATGACATAATTTTTTTTCTGGATAAACTAAAGAAATGTTTCCCCCCACACCTCAGATTAGCACGGTTGGCTACGTACAGTGGGAAAGACGTTCAACGTACGTACGTAATTCAGAAAGAGGAAAAGTTCAACAAATATGTTTACGTGCAGTTTTATTCTTGCATACCAAAATCCCTACAATTACCAAAACAAAGATCCCCACACAGCCTCTACCAGGCTGAGAGGGAACGTGTTGTTAGCGGGGAACTATGAAGGCCGGCACGGCGTACAAGGGCGGTAGTGTGACATGCACCACGCCCGGGCACCTTCATCTCCACCAGTCACTTATTCATGGCTGAGTCAACTTAGGGAAGGCCCAGAAAAAGTTCTGATTTTGGCCACTGACGTTATCTGTGGCTGGGAAATCGATTTCACTTGCCAGCTTGTTGCACCGTGCACTAACCACTACGCCACCACTCCACCCACGCTTGTATCCACACTCACTCTCTTCGATGTGGAGCCTCGTTTGCAGAAGGACACACGCGGCATCGGAGTCGCCTGTGGTGCGAGAGAGTGATGCATTGTACCTGGCCCGCATTACAGAGGCGCGGTAGTTTCCGTGAAAATCGTTAACCCTGTGGCTGCAAGCCACAGTCGGAAGCATCCCGTGTAGCAGCCGGAGGAGCCTATTAGCCGCTGTGGGATCGTGGGCAGCGATGGCTCAGGGACCCAAACCTGTCTCAGCCACGTAAATTCGGCTTGTGCTCTCCATTCGGACCTGAGGAGGGTTTTAGGGCGGCACGTTTAATAGCTTGGGCAAAGCTACTACTGCAGGATGGATTCCCAAGCCCGGCAGCAAAAGGAAAAAAACATATAGCGGGATAAATTGCCTGTGACGAATCTTGGTACGAAATATACTGCTTTTGCCAGCATTAACCCTTCCTGCTACGATGTGTAAACCTGTTCCGTGACTATCACCGGTGTACAAAGCAAGCTCGTGTGCATCCTGAAGGGGTCGTTTGAGTCGACGTTTTCACATCATTTGTAGGGACAAACGCTAACGCTCGTTTCGTCGTACGAGTTCACGTGATATTGTAGATTAGCAATGTGGAAGAGCGGGAAGTTGCCGTTCCTGAATTGAATTTCATCAGCGTAGGGAGTCGCATGAAGAGGGTGTTAACGGGTTCTCTTCTTTAGCGAGCTATATCCGTTTGAGGGAATTGCTCAGTTTTACGGTATGATGGTGCAGGCTTGGAGGCAAATAAGTCTACTTTATATTCATGCCACAGTCAGAAGAATTTGTGGCTTTAGCATTGGCAAGTAATTCTGCTGAATAATGGGAAGGAGGTTTTTTTTATTTTAAATTACACAGTCTCCTTTTGGAATATTGCCTGCAGCATTAAAACAGTCTCCTTATTTGTGATTAACATTTATCCTTTGTATTGTTTTATCCTCGGGTATCTCCATATGCACTGCCTCAGCAGTTGTGTTTAATTGCTTGGTTTAATACGTATGAGCATGACAAGTGTGTCCGTGTGCCTCGTACATTACTGGATGCGGTCAAAACATTTATTGAACGATTGACTAACTGAAACTCCACCTACGTTATGCACATTTTGAGGCCCCCATCCGTGTTCACTGGTCGCCTGCCGTATCGATGATGACATCGGTGAGGATAGCGGCAATTCGTCTCTTGCTTAGCGTGCCCGGTGCGAGCCCGATGCAGTGAAGACTCGCAGAGACATCCATAGACTCTCATAGAGCCCCATAGACTCCCAGTGTTGGCTGTCCATCGTATCACCAATGATCTCAGTAAAAATATGCCCCATGTTTGGCACGCTGGTGCATGGATGCACAAATTCGGTGAAGACATAGAGTCCCATAGACTCGCATAGACACCCGTAGACTCACAGCATTGGCTGTCCTTCCCATCAGGGATAACTTCAGTAAAGATTCGTCCCATTCTTGGCAGGCTGGTGCGAGACTCATCCCATTCGATTTAAAACAAAATATATCTACAGGTCACTGTGGGTAGGCGACCATTGCCACTGTACGTGCACTCGTGCATGTAATTACTGTTGTAACGTATATGGAAAGATCATAAAACGTTGAGTCTAATAGTGTAAATGCAATGCCTTCGACATTTTTGAATTTTGACTGCTAAAATGTAAACACGTTTTGAAATGCAGTACATTAATACATGCATGTTGGTAGCAGTGGGGGGAGTGGTGTCGTAGTGCTTAGCATGCTGTGCTTCAATCCAGTGAATTGAGTTTGGTTTCTAGCCATGGTGAGCAACATCCGAATGCATCATGGGCATCCATCCACACGCCACCCCCTTCACCAATCTGCACCACTGACCAGCGTGTTGAAGTTTAATAAAAAAAAAACACGACAGTTCATTGAAAAAGAGCTGTAAATGATTACTGTTGTTGATAAAGGCACAACGTCTGAAACAAATTAATTGTATGACAGCCATTTTCCTATTACGGTGCGAGTAATAGCTATACAATGACCGACACTGTTAGTATATTTTCAAAAACAGGATTGAATAGGTAGCACTCTGGCTAAGCAATTATCCTTGAGTGCAGGGATGCATGTACAGTAGTTGGTCAGCATTGTCTTGCCATGCATATCACCTGCTACGATGCAGAGACCAGCGCTTTGATTATAATAAGCCGAGTTTGATCTCAATCTGAAAAATTACTCCTCGCGAAACCAGAGTACATCTGACGCGCACATGAAGAGTTCAGCTAAACCGTGCGGTTAAATCTTAGATTCGTTCATGAATTGCGAAACCAGGCCTCCGTGTTTACAAACGGCAATTGCTCAAAATCTTACATTTCACAACAGTTCCATTTGCGCTCGCCAACGCGCGACGTAGGACGAATAAAAACGCATTGTAAATGTATGGCTTAATATCCACTTCACAGGATGATGATGATGCCACCCCCTCCCCCTGCGATTCTGTCAGTGCATTTTGAACTCAGCCGTGGGGCTACGGCGGCTTGACTCGGAGGGGGTGGGCCTCCAAGCCAAGCTGCCCCCAATTCTCTCAATGCCCAATTCCGGCCCAGGCTTTCGAGCGGTGCAAGCAATCGCGGTGACCAACACCCGCTACCCCCCACCACGCTATCCCATTTGTCTTGTTACAATAAATACTGCACAACGGTCTCCGCCGGAGCAGGCCGTTGCTCTGCCCGTGCCATTGCTACATTAACCACCCGCAGTACGTGTTCAGTCTCTCGCCGTTTTAATCAGGCCACGGGCAACACGAATGCTTCCGTGCATCCCCATTGTTTGACAGCAGCGAGGGAATGCTCGTGTCTTGGCCGTGCCGCCGCCCGGCTTTTGCGTTGCTGGGCCAAACCAACCCCGCCGGGCGATCGCGCTCCAAACGGCAGCGCGATTCGGAATAAGTCGCTTTTGTTTGTAGGCCTCCTGCGACCGTCTGAGTTCCTCCGGCGACCGTCTGAGTTCCTCAGATGGTCACAACCATCGTATGGCCAAGGTGGCTCGGTGGGAGAGTGGCTCGGAAGGTTTTTGGATGGTTGAGGTGGTCGGGGTGGTTGACTTGGCCAATCGTCGCTCTGGTGGGGGTAGCGAGATTATAGCTCGTGGACAGGCAGTTATCCTGTGGATAGTCCCACCCCCGTCATAGGAATGTGGGATTTTCCACCACTCGCTCACGGCCGCAACAAAGGAGTTGAGCGCCACCGCAATGTTAGGTTGAGGAGGAAATCACTTTGGTAGTTTGCTTCGACGTCCGTCGCTATTGCTCGTGGGGACGTTTCTCACAGCGCTGTCGACTTTACGAGCACCAGTGTGCGTCTTCAGAGCCCATTTATTTTAGACGATTGCTGTGTGCTTCTTCATAGATGATTTTCATGATATTTAGCCCATGTCAAATACTGTGGGTCTAATTAAATTTAATCTAATTTTATATTTATAGAGCGCCTCTACTCAAGGCACTTAACTTGGTTTAATAAATGGTGACCGAGTGGAATGATTTAGATGGCAGGGGCATGCAAGGATTGAGGAATGAGCGACCGTGGTAGAGGGATAGTTGGGGATCATGAAAGGGTTGGCAGGGGACGGGAAGGAGTGGAGGGGTGAGGGGAGGGAACAGGTAGAGAATGGGTGATAGAGAAGAGGTAAGCGTTGATTAAATCAATAACAATCCATTCTAATGCTTCACGAAAAATATGCATTGCATTCTGGATGTAAGATCCATTTATTTAAACGTTTTGTACGTTACATGTAATGTTGATCATATGACTAGCGTAGTCACCACAAGGCCTGACCAGCAATGGTGAAGTATGGTCAAACAACCACCATGACCAACACGTCGTGGGAAGACCATTCATGCATCAGCGAGTGGAAAAGCTTTATTGTCATAAATTATATTATAACTGCTCATTATATTATTGGCTGTACGTTGCCAATGGTATAACCGCCACACTACACACACACACACGTGCGTTTAATGCCCTCTACTGTGTTGCTTGTTGTGCTCTGTAGGCGGAGGTGTGCGCTGGCGCGGTGCCGGAGATCATCCAGTCGGTGGTGAACGGAGCCGATGGATGCATCTTCTGCTTTGGAAACGCTAAACTCGGTACCGAGTGGAAGAGGCACATTCGGGAGGGCAGAGTCATTTATACGAGCGTGCCTTTCGACATTCACTCTCGTTACCCTGCTATTCGCGTGAGCGCGAACCCACCGGTTTGGTTATTTGAGATGAACGACCTGGCACGTGTCATCCGCACACGCGGTGAACATGCAACGTCGGGCCAACGTCGGTCGACTTTTTCCCCAACGTTGGACCGACGTCAACCAACGGTTGGCCCAATGTTGCAATGCTTACTGGGTAATTGAGGGTTGATGTCAATGACGGAGGCTCCTCCATCTTTCGCGATCTTCAGCCCCTTCCCGTTGCAAGAGTCCCACTGCTCGCACTGGTCCCACCAGCCGATCCGGAACCATCCTCGTCACCCTCTTCCCTTCCGCTTCACCATGCAGAAATTATCTTGCTTATGTCTCCAGCTGTGACCCTCTCGAGATGTGCCCTGCGTATGCCACATTTGGAATTGTCAGTAATTCTTGCTTTGTGGCCGTTCTCTCTCGGCTCATTTTCACATCTTCGCTCATATTCTTAGTTCTTTCGGTAAAGTCACGTAGAAGGGAAACGTGACTTTACCGAAAGAACCAATAATATGAATCCCTGCAGTCACGAAAGCTTTAAATCAAAAACTTCGCTCATCTTATCACACCATACTTATGTTTCCATTCTTTGGTAACACCGCATATAAAATATATTTAGTCTTCCCGAGACATTTTTAATTGGCTTCACTCCCGGATATATACTTTCTGCGTCAGAAAATGTGTAAAATGTGCGCCTCTGTGGAAACTGCCTGTACTCACAGGCAGCAAATGTGGTGCTATTGTATCACCGAAATATTACAGGACAAGAAAATTGGTCGGCTGACTCTACTCCTTTTGGAGTAATAAAAAAAAACGTTTCCTTGCGCGTGCTTGGAGTTAACAGGTTCTGAGATTGCAACAAAGCCATTTACACCTGCAGGTTTAGCAATTTTGTTCCGTAAATTAATGTATCTTCCTCACAGCCCAGAAAACAAATAGATATTATCTTGTAAACGGTGGCATTGCATGGTTGGCATCGGCTATTAACCCTTTCCCGTTCTGAGACATCTGCAAGTTGCAGGTTGAGTCGTGGTCACCGCTGAATCTTTGAAACGTGGAAGCGGTTAGCGTTAATTTAATTTAGAGAGGCATAGCGCCGTTGTTTTTGTATGTATGTATATATGTTGAACTTCTTTCGCACCATACGTAGCCAACCATGGTAATTGAAGGTGGGTGGGAAGGACAACAAACTAAAGACATTGTACTCACCGCAAATAAGTTAGCGACACGACCACACTCTATTATAGCTGGTGCCAAACTGTGCCACATGCCCTCCCGCATGGCCTCGTGGGAGCCTCGGTACGTCTTGCGGCCTGAAGACGTACCGATACAGTTATTAACTGAATACGTACACATACGTCATCGGAATGGGAAAGGGTTAATTGGGGGGGGGGGGGGGCGTTTCAAATTTCTCCTCTTTTTTGTAGTCCAGAGCCTAGGCACTTCCAGCCTGTAGGCCCTGGTGCAATTGCAGTGCCTGCATACTCGATAGCTATGCCGCTGCTTATACATGTCCCGAGGTTGTGTCCATGATCATTCCAAAACAAATTAAAAGCTTCTTCAGTGAGAAAGCAGACTTTAAAATTAGAGGAAGGCACGTAATTATACCACTCTCAGGATCATTACTGTAATGTCACTCGTAGAATTGTAATCAAACATTAATTGAGTGACATAACTCAAGCATGCTATGAAATAATTCCTTCCCTTGTATAATTAGCGAAGCTTCGAACTGGTATGGTACAGCCTGGGAGACCCTGCCTGAGTGCATATCTATAACATAAGAGTTATTTTATTTTTGGGTTGCAATTACCTTCGCCTAATGTACTCTGTTTAGATGACAACTGACTTTGTCCTATCCCAGCAGAGGCTTCTTACGACCTCTGTACTAATTATAATAATTTCCTTTATTTTGCTTGGAAAGCCTCTCTGAGTCTCACAACTCTCTTTTTTTACTTGTCCAATCCCATGAATTGTACCCGGAGAAAACCCACACACGTGGGGAGGGCCTGGTGGGGGAGTAACACTTTTTTTCCACTCCACACTACTGTACTGCCATCGACTGGCCGCCTCGCAGCTCATGCAGTCTCCTATCCAAGTTCTAACTAGACTCAACTCTGCTTAGCTTCTGATATCGGAGGAGATGGGACACCCATGGTAATAGCAAGCAAATAATATTAATTTTCCACTGGCACGTCATAGCCAGGCCAATGCTCGCGGTACCAGTGATTTTTCCACTGGATATATGCTATGAGGTCACAGCGTCGGCGCATCCACCGACATGTGTCTCGACGCGTTCGTCGCGAATCACCTCGCTGGTTCAACGTTAGTCATGCAATGGTGATGTGATGGCCGTGGTGGTGATGACGATGACGACGATGATGACGCCGCAGGAAAGACGTACACGATGCTGGGCAGCGGAGACTCGAGCCAGGCGCTCGGCGTGGCTCCGTGTGCCATCTCGTGGCTCTTCCGTCTCATCGAGGAGCGCAAGGAGCGCACGGGGGCGCGCTTTTCGGTCCGCGTCTCCGCCGTGGAAGTGTCGGGGCGCGGCGAGGCCCTGGGCGACCTCCTGAGTGACGTCGCGTCGGGCACTACGCAGGACGACAATCAGTCCCCCGGGGTCTTTCTCCGCGAGGACCCTGTGTGCGGCACGCAGGTGGGCCGGGCCATTTTCATTTGCCAACGTAGCCATTCATCCATTGAAGCCATTCTGGTCGTGTGGTTGTGGTGGGGGAGCGGCAGTGTAGCTGTCAGCGCTACGCTACGCTGCGCTATGAACCCAGTGACACGAGTTCTATTCCCGCTCACGGCCAAAACCCAGTGACGATTGTCTGAACTGATCCAGGGCCTCTCCTAGGTCGACTTGGCCTCAAATGAGTACCTGGTGCGGTGTGTCAACATCACCACTCGGGAGACAAAGGCGGCCGGGCGTGGTGTTGGCCACCCATCCCCTCGTGTCCCGTGCCGGCCTTCCTGGGTGCTCGCTAACTGCAGTTGCCCCAACGGTTCTGCTTAATGCTCTACGGGCGATCTCTGTTGGCACACTGGACTTGGAGGTTGCTGGCTCGATTCAATCTCGGTAGTTGAAACAGTCGTGCAAGTGTCTTACATCCCCCCTGCCTCTGTCCACGCAGCAGTGAGAATGGGTTTACCACAGTCAGTCGGTCGGCAGGTCGTGCTGCGGCAGGGTAACGAGTGGGTGACTCCCATCTCTTCCAAGACGTCTGCCAAAATGGAAGAGTTGGCAAAATACACTTTGGCGAGGCTCTAAAGCTCCCTCTATCGGAGGTGTTTCCACCAGCAGTAAGGAGAGCAAGCAATTGCAGAGCTGCACCTTCACATTTGTACCTATTCTTAATAAGCCAATGGATAAAGGTTTCCCCATGCCATGTTAGTCATGGGGGGTAGAGTTTGACCATACCTCAGAATGCTGGCCAGTACGTGGTGGTTAAAGGGGGGGGGAAGAAAACAACATCGGTTTTAATATAACTTTCCACTGATGTTAGCCGTCTTCAGACCAGTCAACTTTGACTGCACAGTAAGTCATCAAATGAATTGCAGATATTGGATTAGCAGTCGTGCACAAGCACAATAAACAAAAACATGTTGCGGGCAGTATTTTTTATTTATTTAATCACTTGAGATTAGATTTATCACTTCGTTTGTGTAAATCTGAGGTCAGAGAAATAAAAATATGACTTTGGCTGACGGGCTACAGGACAGCAGGGTTTGTGGGGAAGGACACTCCCCTGAGTATGGGTAAGAGCGAACTTGAGAGATCGTCACCTTCCACGGGCTGATGTCTAACCCAGCTTTGTGAGATTTGTAATTGGTGCCATGATACGGTACGACACCAATTGCTAAACATTTGGTGAAGGAAAAATGTAAGTAAAAAAGTTGATATTTAAAAATCTATTTTGCATTTTCTTATGTACAGCCGTTGGCAATCGGACTGTGATCACTCGCTCGCTGCATTCCAGAATGTGGTTTTCAGCCAAAATTAAAACCCAACAACAATAATAATAATGACATATTCCAGATCTGGGCCTATATTATATTCAACAATGAAATATATTGTTACAGAACTGGGAATGCGGTGGTATGTGCTCTCTATGTAGAGATATATAATAAAATAAATATACCGCATTCAATTTAATTTTAGCATTTGCAAACGATAACAATCATAGTCTTAGTAACAAATTAAATTTTCCACCGAATAGCATCCCTTGCCTGGTAATAATGTCATACCCTAAACCAGTCTGGAAATTCCATGATGGAAGTTATTTGAGTAAATTGAGCCAAATACATTGGCGGCTTTCACAGACGAAATTATACAGCGATACGTTCCGTAGGCGATTCGCTACGTCCACTGCAGTAGACGCGCAGTACGCGGATTGTGTGTGTGGTGTGTGTGCTGTGTGTGTGCTGTGTGCGTGTGCTGTGTGTGTGTGATGTGTGTGTGCTGTGTGTGTGTGCTGTGTGTGTGTGATGTGTGTGCTCTGTGTGTTGTGTGCTGTGCGTGCTGTGTGTGTGCTGTGTGCGTGTGCTGTGTGGGCTGTGCTGTGTGTGTGTGGTGTGTGTGTGTTGTGTGTGCTGTGTGTGTGTGCTGTGTGCGTGCTGCGTGTGTGTGTGCTGTGTGTGTGCTGTGTGTGTGCTGTGTGTTGTGTGTGTGCTGTGTGTGTGTGTGCTGTGTGCGTGTGCTGTGTGTTGTGTGTGTGCTGTGTGTGTGTGTGCTGTGTGCGTGTGCTGTTTGCTGTGTGTGCTGTGTGTGCGCCGTGTGTGTGCTGTGTGTGTGTGTGCTGTGTGTGCGCCGTGTGTGTGTGCTGTGTGTGCTGTGTGCGTGCTGCGTGTGTGCTGTGTGTGTGTGCGTGCGTGTGCTGTGTGTGTGCACTGTGTGTGTGCTGTGTGTGCTGTGTGCGTGCTGCGTGTGTGCTGTGTGCGTGCTGCGTGTGTGCTGTGTGTGTGTGCGTGCGTGTGCTGTGTGTGTGCACTGTGTGTGTGCTGTGTGTGCTGTTTGCGTGCTGCGTGTGTGCTGTGTGTGCATTTAGGCGCGTTGAGCAGGAGCAATATCCAGCGCCGAGAGTGGCAGTTGCGTTTAGACGCTGAATAAATGCAATTGTATTGTAAAAAAACAACAATGTATATCCCCTCTATCAATCAGTTTTCGGACAAAGGCCTGTCCACACTATATATAGTGTGGACTGTACCCACACGAGATATATAAAGTGTGTGTGTAGAGTGTACATTGGGGTGCTGTAGCATAGTGGTTTACGCACTGCGACCCAAGTTCGATTCCCGCTCACGGCCAACATCGGTCACAAATATCTGAACCCGTCCTGGGCCTGCTCTAGGTCAATTCAGCCATAAATGAGTATCTCGTGCGGTGTCTAAACGTTGGCACCGGGGAGACAAAGGCGGCCGGGCGTGGTGCTAACCACTCACCCTCTCACATGCCGTGTTTGGCCATCGTAGGTGCTCACTAGCGGCACTTTGCCCTTACAGTCTGTTAAAGGCTAAATGGGGGATCTTTGTCTTTGAATAGTAGCCCTCCTTTCAACAACAGCCTCATTTAAATTCCACACCAATCTAGTGGTAGGCTTAATGCGGAATCCCCGAAGTGACGCTCTAACCTCCACCAGCTTTGTTGATCCCTGCTCCGTCACCGGCTCTGCCCTCGACACCTTTCCAGAATGTCGTGGGCGGTGGGGGAGCTGCCCACTACCCCCTAGGTCACCCCCCCCCCTCCCCATCCCCCCCGTGTCGCTCCCCCTCCCCGCTAGCTGGAGAACCAGAACGAGCTGCGAGCCTCCACGGCGGAGCGCGCCGCGGGCTTCTTGGACGCGGCCGTGGCGGCTCGCCAGGGCGGGGCGGCGGACGCCAGCGAGGAGGACCGCCGCAACTCCCACATGCTCTTCACGCTGCACGTCTACCAGTACCGCATGGAGCGCGGCGGGCGCGGCGGCAGTAAGCCCTCGCGCGCACGTTCGTGTTGAACGCCGTGCCGTCGCGGGTAGGGTGCCCCCCCCCCCGCCACCTCTTGTGTATGGGGCGCCACCGTGGTGAGACGTTCGCTACCTTGCCTGTTATACAGGAGGGTCGTGGGTTCCATCACTGCGACCCTTGACTCCTGTATATTTGGAGTCGGCGTGTTCTCCCCGTGGTCAAGTGGGTTTTTTCTCCGGGTCTTCCAGTTTTTTCCCCTCCGCATTTCGAAGTGTGCGTTTAGAATACTTGGCTGCTTTAAATTTCCACGTAATAAGCCACTTCGTTGAGCTATCATTTGTGGCCAGGTGGCTTCTGAAACATACCTATGTAGCTCAGTGGGCCTTGCCTGGTAAAATAAAAAATAGTTTAGTTTAATATGTTGAACTGTGCTTATCGGAGGTGCGGTTGGAAGGACAACAAACTAAACACAAAAAGCAATTCTAAAGAATTTAGTTTTCAATCAAGATGATTTAAAAGTGGAAAGCTCCAGTGGCTTCCTAATATCGGAAGGAAGAGCGCAGAAGCACATCTGAAAGTGCTCAATGCAGTGAGCGTCTTTGTTCAATAGCCAGCCAAAAGACGGAAACTGGGGCGGGATCACGGGAAGATGATCATCTTACAACGTCACTACGTAGGAACTTCAATGATGGGACACTCGGTTACTCGCTTACTTAACGTGGCCACTGAGGCTGGGATAACCTCTATCCCCTGTCTGTCCTGATGATCACAAATTACCACAAAAGCAGCTTTACCTGTCTGAAGTCAGCGCAGAGGTGTCCCTTGATACAATGAGGCACCTCCGTGGCTGTGTGTCCAGGTGGTTCAGGGGCAGAGCGAGCGCCAACTGCGCTTAGGATTTCGTGCTTGTGCTTTTGGATTAGACTGAATTTAATTCGGCACCGTGTCTGACGTTTTGCTCCATGCCCTGGGAGGTAAAACCAAATTTCCCATAGTTTGTGCTTGGTCATTGGTGACCAAGCAGAAAGCCAAGAACGTGTTTTAATGATAAGTGATGCAAACATGAAACTGTGAAAGCCAAGAACGTGTTTTAATGATAAGTGATGCAAACATGAAACTGTACATTCAAACGCAGGCAGATATCATTAACACCCAAAATTGTCTCCTTTGAAAAATGTATAACGGGACAATGTGCCCCTCCCTCCCTCCCTCCCTCCCTCCCTCCCTCCCTCCCTCCCTCCCTCCCTCCCTCCCTCCCTCCCTCCCTCCCTCCCTCCCTCCCTCCCTCCCTCCCTCCCTCCCTCCCTCCCTCCCTCCCTCCCTCCCTCCCTCCCTCCCTCCCTCCCTCCCTCAGTGACGGGCGGACGCAGCCGTCTCCACCTCATGGACCTGGGCAGCTGCGAGAAGGTGCTGTGCAAGAGCCGCGAGCCGGGGTCGGGGATGTGCCTCTCGCTCAGCGCCCTCGGCAGCGTCCTCCTCGCGCTCGCCAACGGAGCCAAGCACATCCCCTACAGGTCAGAATGGAGCACGCACCCTGTGGGTCAGAGCAAGGGTCATAAGCACATGCCCTGTGGGTCAGAGCAAGGGTGGTAAGCATGTGCCCTGTGGGTCACAGCAAGGGGGTAAACACGTGCCCTGTGGGTCAGAGCAAGGGGGTAAACATGTGCCCTGTGGGTCACAGCAAGGGTGGTAAAGATGTGCCCTGTGGGTCAGAGCAAGGGTGGTAAGCATGTGCCCTGTGGGTGAGATCAAGGGGGTAAACACATGTCTTGTGGGTCAGAGCAAGGGGGTAAACACGTGTCTTGTGGGTCAGAACAAGGGGGTAAACACGTGCCCTGTGGGTCAGAACAAGGGTGGTAAGCATGTGTCCTGTGAGTCAGACTTTACTTACTCCTCTTCATGCCCTATGGGACATATAAGGCGACCTGTCGGTCAGAGCAAGGGGGTAAACACGTGCCCTGTGGGTAACAGCAATGGAGTAAGCATGCACCCAATGGGTAAGAACAAAGGGTTAAGCACGTGCCCTACATGAGTGGTTCGCAAATTGTGGTCTGCAAAAACAAATCCTACAATTCCTATTTTAAATTTGGACAAAAATATGTTATCGGTGCACGGTGGTCGACAAAAACATTTGTGAGGGTTTGACAGTGGCCAGAGGGCCTCCTAAGGGCTGGGAACGGCCACCACCGTCGGTCAGAAGGAAGGGGGCAAGCGCAGGTTCATGATGTGGGGGACACCTCACAGTCCACGTGTCTCCTTGATCCATTCGAGATTTTCCTTCCGTGAATTATCTTTACAATTCGCCTTTCTCAGAAGTGGACGTGGGTCCACGTACTCGAATGGAAATTGGGTCTGGTGCTCCTCGTCGCTGTTGTAGGTCCTGAACCAGCGGTGTAAATTCCACATTCATATGACGGGTGGGAGGGAAGGGGGCTACTATAGCAATAGGATAAAAAAAACCTTTCCCTTTCTCCTCATTCGATTGAACCCAAAGGGGGACAATTGTTTTAAATATAAACAGTTTTGCAATATGTGGTAGGTGATTAAAGTCTGGGCTTACTACTAAAGGGGAGTGAGTCCAGAGGGTGAGAATTAAACGTGCGTGAAGCTAACTGTCAATGTTGGATGCGAGGCAAAGACGATGCGCCTCACCGTGTTAGCCTCAACGTTTGGCAAAAGGCATGGCGTTGTTTAAGTTGTGCCGTCAATTAATCTCATTGTTCGCCAATGGGGTTTTTTGTTGTTGTTTATTTCTACGAGAATTACGAAGATTGGTTTTGTGTCTACAAAGCCGATGAAAGAGTCAAAGCTTTCCCCCGCTCTCGTGACAAACAAAATCAATTAAATGTTTCGGTGTAATTCATCGCCGCCTTATTAGTTTTCGTTCCCCTTGTTTCTGTTACCAGTCGGCAGCTACACGTAAATGTTAATTTAGTGTTGTGTAGAGCACTGATTAAACCACTAAAAAAATATATAAGTGATGTGCCAAATTCCAAACCCCCAGCCCTTGTAAATATCAAGTACTTCCATTTGTTCAGCGTGCCTGTACTGGTGGCTATGCGAAATGAAAAGACTCCAATGAATAACATCTAAACTGTCGTTTAACAGCAGGATAAACCATGAACAATATATATTTTTTAATTGAGATGTCTTCCTAGCACGCAGCACTTATGAGGTTTTTTTTGAACCCAGCGATGACAATTTTTTTTACTGACTTCTGAGAGCAATTTTTCGCCCCCCCCCCCCAATGAGATGAAAGGAATACCACACATACACACACGCATTATACTGACCTGTGTGTACAGCATGTACTCGCTGCACGGGGGACATACGCAGGAAAGCACCGGGAACGTACATTCTTCATCAACGTAGCACAATGAGGGCAGTAATAATGAACGCACTTTGAAGTTAATTTGTGCAGTGTTTTGAATTGCTTAATTGAAATCTAATTGAAATTTGTAATTTACATAATTTGCTCCATATGAGAACATTTCAAAATTATTCATGAAGAATTCCCATTTTAGTTAATTGCAGCAGGATCAACCTGTCACGCGTCTACTCTCTGCATATATAATTTTTCTATATCGTGTACGGTATATACAGTACGTACAAAAAACGCCAGGTGCAGCGGTGGCACAGTGGCGAACGTAACTTTTGCTGTGAAGCCGCCGAGCAATCCGAGTTCAACTCCCAGCCGCATCTGACATCAGCGGTGAGCAATATCGACCAAGACAGAAGAGGCCCTTGCACAGACCAGATTTGAATGCGTGTGCCAACATTACAAGGACAGCGTTGCGGGTCAAAAAATGTCCCCGATGAGTGCCGCTGATTTGCTCACAGCGACGACGGTATATCCGTTGTGGAGTGGGTAGGCCGCACGACGTGCCCTCGGGGCCGTCCCCCCGCGCGCCCCGTTCCATCGGGCGCGCGGCAAACGTGCGGCCGACGGGCGTTGACATCGCGTCGCTGTGTGCCCCCGTGGGGTCGGTGGGGGGGAACCGGAAGGGAGAGCCGGCTCACGATGCTGCTGCAGGAGTCGCTGGGCAACATCAACTGCCGCACGACGATGATCGCCCACGTGTCGGCCGCGGCGGCCCGCCACGCCGAGACGCTCGCCACCGTACAGCTGGCGGCTCGCGTTCACCGCTTGCGCAAGAAGAAATCTCGGGTGAGGGGTGGGGGGGGGGATCCCTCGCACGCACACACACCCCACCCTCCCACACACACACACACGCTCTCACTCTCGCACCTTCGGTAACGACGTTTATGCAACGTGACGAGTTGTTCGTTTGAGGACAGAGTCAGCCTCGGGCAGTGTTCTTCACAAATTTTCAGAGGGGAAGCCACTTTCCACCGTCAGTGTGAGGAGGGCCGCCACGCACTTTAAGCCATTGGGGTTTGACAGCAGCACGACGATGATGGGGAGTGTTTTCACCATTTGTGTATTACTCAATGGTTCTTTCGGTAAAGTCACGTATGTGGAAATATCCTAATATTTCACATACGTGACTTTACCGAAAAAAAACCATTGAGTAATTTATGCAGTCACGAAAGCTTTAATTCTTCATTTGTGTATTGTCGAGAGACACACGTCGAGGGCCACACTAAAAGCCACCAGGGGCCCGCCAGTGGCCTGTGGGCCTTGCATTGAAGATCACTGGCCTAGGGGAAGCCCCGCTACGACACGTCGAGATACCGCTTAACGTTGCGTTTCCCCGTCTTTCCAGTCTGCGTCCAGTTCGTCGGGTGGGGACAGCTCGTGCGAGGAAGGGCGCGGCCAACGTGGCCCGGCGCCCATCCGCCCGTTCCACCCCCGCCTCATGGCCCTGGATCCTGAGCCCCCTCTGGCGGCGGTGCCGCCGGCGGGCGGCCCCGGCATGCGGCCTCCGCACCGGCTGGGCCTGGCGAGCGAGGCGGAGTACTCGTCGAGCAGCGAGCAGTCGTGCGACACGGTCATCTACGCCGGCGAGGGTGGAGACCTCACCGACAACGAGGGCCCCCCCGAGTCCGTGCCGGTGTCCCCCGCATCGTCGTCCAACTCGGCCAACTCGGCCAACTCCTCTGCCAACTCGGCCAACTCGGCCAACTCCTCTGCCAACTCGGCCAACTCGGCCACCTCATGGACGGCCGACGGTGACCGGGCAAAGCTGCTGAACCGGGAGAGCGAGGATGCGTCGCCTGTCACGCCCGCCGTGGTGATGGGCGACACATGGGCGGCGGTGGTGGCGGCAGTGGCGGCGATGGAAGGCCAAACGGGAACTTCTCCCATAGAATCCTCGGACGCCGCGGACGCCACTGGCGACGGCACTTCTACGCCGGCAGGCGAACAACTGCCCGCGGAGCCGGCCAATCCCTCGGATCGCGACCACTTCAAGTGCAAGACCTTCGCCGAGCTGCAGGAGAGACTGGACTGCATAGATGGGAGCGAGGAGCCCCGTTGTTTCGCGTTCGTCGAGGCCTCCGCGACCACCGTGGCCACCGTGGTCGAAGAGGAGCGAACGGCGGACGGCCGTGGCGTCTCCGCCGGGTCGCCGTGGCATGCCGAGGACGAACCCTCAAAAGACAACAACAACGAAGCACCCGCGTCTCCGTGCGCGCTCGGAAACGGCTACAAAGCGCGCGGCAATGGGGACTGTGTGTCTTCTGAAGTGTCGGCGGATAAAATCAACAGGAACGAAATACCGAGCTGTGGTAGCGGGGCGGGAAAGGTGCCGGGCGGCGGCCCTGCGTGCGTGCCGATCGCTCTGTCGCTCGCGCCGGGCGGCGAACGGGGAGGGAAGCTCGGCTCCCCAGAGAAGAGGGCAATGGGGAAGCGGTCGCTGCCCAGCCCGGCCCCTCCTCCGCCGGGGACAAAGCCGCAGTACAGAGGCACGGAATCGACGGCGTGCAGGGCCCACGCGGTAGGCGGCCTCCAGACGAGGACGCCGCCCGTGGGAATGAGCCCCCAGGTGGCCAAGCGGGTCCTCGTGCCGCAGCGGCTGTCACCAGCGGCGGACGCGGAGGGTGGCGTGGAGGCGGATGCGCCTCCCGCGTGCGTCGACGGCCCCTTCGCCGCCGAGAAGACGGCGCGCCAACTCGACGAGGAGAGCGGCGCGGACGACGAGCTCGTCTTCACGCTCGACCTCCTGCACGCGCTCCTGGGCGGCGGCGACGGCAGCGGCAACAACAACAACGCCGGCGGCAATGGCGGCAACGGGCGACGGCCGATCAGCATCATCAGCTTCACCAGCAACTGCTCGACGAGAGCGTTGGCACCCGGCTCGCGTCCCGTCAGCTTCGTCAGTGTGGACTTTGAGCCGTACGCTCCTCCTCCGCCGCTGGCCGACACCGCGGCCTCGGCAGGGGCGGCGACGCCGTCGGCCCCGGCAGTGAGTCCTCCGCATTCGTCCTCGGCCGTGGGAGCGGGCGCCTGCGTGACCAGGCTGGTGGCGGGCATTCCCGTCGCCTTCTCGAGCCCGGCGCTCGACGGCGAGCCGTTCTCGGGGCGCGTCGCCGGCGAGGACAACTGCAGCAGCAGCAACGGCAGCAACAGCAGTTGCCGCTCGTCCATCGGCTCGTGGCTGAGCGAGCTGAGCAACGCCGGCAGCCTCGGGAGCGAGGGGGAGCAGTCTTGCGACAGCTTCGTTGTGCAGGCCATGTGCGCGGGAAGCGTGGAGCAAGGGGAGGCGGAGCAGATTCTCCCGGCGATGCGGTCGCCGTTGGAGTACGGCAAACAGGAAGGCGTTGTCGGACTCTCACAGGATGGGCACTCGCCTGTGAATGGGTGCTACCAGCAGGTTAGGGCACGGACTAAACCGATGGACAATATCGAGCTCAATGGAGTCATCTTTGCTGGGGATTTTAAGAAATTACCCTTCGGGGATTTAATGGGGACCGTTCTTGAAAGGTCACCAAACCTGCAGTCTGGGCAAAGCAAGGAAGGCGGCCGGCGCACAAGTCTGATCATTTGCGGGGACTTCAAGGACATATCCAACCTTGAGAAACGATTGTCTGCGAAACACGGCGAGGACGATTTGGAAAACCACAAGAAGCAAAGCGTCTTCCCGTGTCCTGCGAGCGGGGCGCAGGTGGCAGTTGGTGGCGGTGCAAAAATTCAACCGGCGGTCATTAGGAGCGGCATCTCCATTCATCCCAGGATAACCCCCAAGCCAGCCGTGGCTCTTTTTGAAAAGGTCCCATCTAGGGGCACTCCCGGATCTCCTGCCAGGCAGAGCCCCAAGGCCAAAAACTGCGATGGTTGCGTCAAACCGCCGGAGCTGAGGTCGACATTCGAAAATCCCTGGGTGATGCGGGAGGATGGTGAGATGGACGGCCTGGAGGAGAGCACGAACGTGAGCCATGGGAAGCCTGCCGACGTCTGCACGAGCGCTGGCACAGCTGCCGAGAGCCCCGCTCAAAGCAACGGTGGCTCCCAGGCACCCGGCGGGCAGGGGATCAGCAGCGACGCTCTGAGAGCTGGCGGAGAGATGCAGGGCGTGGACCGAGTGAGCGGCGGCGGCGGTGGCTACGGGGGCTACTCGCACACGCTGCCGACGAAAGCGAGCGCTCACGGGAAGTCTTCGGCGATGCACGGCATCGTGAGGCTCGGCAACGGTGAAGCGACGTCTTTGGACCGCGAGCAAGTGGCGACGGTGCACAGCGCTACGATGGATCGCAAGAAGGGAGCCGCAAAGTCGAGCGGCGGCAGCGCCGGCGGTGGCGCTGCCAACGTGTTCCTCTTTTCGAAACTGAGGAGCAGCACTCCTCCAGCACCGCCGGTCCGCAAGTCCAGCCTTGACCAGCGCAACAGAGCGGGGTGCAAGGATTCACCCGGGGCGAACCACGCGTTTTCCTACGCCGACACGGAGGAGGCTTTCAGCAGATTGCTGTCACCCAGCCGGGGTGTAGGCAGCGGTGGCTCCAGCTGCTCGACACCGGTGAAGGGGAAATTGGAGTCGTCGGCCGAGCAAGGCTTCAAGCGAAGCTTCACGGGCAGGAGCGACAGCACGGAGAGAACCGGAAGCAGGAAGCATGCGGCGGACGCGAAGATGTTGACGGATGGACACGGCTGCGTGGCGCCTGCCAACTCTGCGAGCAGCAGGCTGGGACGACTGATGTTCAGGATTTCGGGGAATGGAGGATCGGCAGCGCACGGCACCCTGGCGCAGGAAGCCCTGATAGCGCACACGAAGCTCGCTGCGGAGCTTTGCTCCAAATCCTCCTCCGTTTTCGGCTCCAAGAATCGCAGTCAGTCGGCAAACGGCGGCCCACCTCCAGCCAAGGCGGCTCCTCTCAGCCCTCTGTCGCCATCTTCCTCGTCGTCGTCCTCCTCCAAGACGCTGCCACACCCGGGCAGCACGCGGAGCTCCAGCTTGCCCACCAGCTCCCGCGCCGCCACGCTATCGCGCTCGGTGCAGGCCCTGCGCAGCAAGCTGGGCCGCGGCACGTCAGAGAGCTCCTCCAAGGCGGGCCGAGTGGCCAACAGCCGAGTGTCGGAGCTCGCGTGCGGCTCTCCCAAGGCGTGCTCGTCACCCGCGTCACCTCCGCAGTCACCTTCGGCACCGACGTCACCGGTCACCGGAGGATCGGGAGCGGCGACGGCGGCGGCGGCAACAGCAGCCGGAGCGGCCGCAGTGGTCGGGCCGATGGGGAGCGGCCGCGGCAGCCGGGGCTTGCTCCCGACGGTGGCCGACTCGGACAGCGGCAACGACAGCGGGGTGCAACTGACGGACGAGAAGCCCCCCCAGGCAGGCTCGGCGGCGGCCGGTGGAGCACCGGCATCGCCGAGCGCGGCCGCCTCCTCCACGGGCGCCGGCGCCACGTCGAGCTCGGCCGTCAAACTCGCGCTGCCGTCGCCCTACAGCAAGGTGACGGCGCCGCGGCGGCCGCACCACCGCAGCAGCGGGCACGGCAGCGACACGAGCAGCGTGCTCAGCGGCGAGATGCCGCCGGCCATGGGCAGCGCCGCGCTCTTCTACTGCCAGAACGTCGGTGGCGGCGGGGGGATGGGCGTCAAACCGGGCTGCGGCTTGGCGGGGGGCGGCGGCGGCGGCGGCGGCGGTTCGGTCGCCGGCGTGGTGGCTCCCATCCGGCGCGCACTGCGTGGCAGCCCCCTTGCCGGGACCAGCAGCTGCAGCAGCAGCGGGTACGAGACGGGAGCCAGGCAGGAGCCGAGGGCCATGGCGGCGGAAGGCGCCACGGCCGCAGCCGCCGTCATGACAGTGAGGTCGGCGCCCAACTCGCCCGCGTCGTACAAGCACGAGTCGGCGGTGAGCGACAGCGGGCAGCAGTCGTCCGGCAGCAGTGGGCACTGGTCCCCGCGCAGCTTCAAGTCGCTCAACAGGAAGGCGCTGCTGGGTGAGTGGTTGTGTGGGCACAGTGTGTGGTTGGAACACGGCGTTTTCGACTTGCGATCCAGAAGTTGCCGGTGTCGATCCCGTGGCGCGGAAGTTGAAACGGTGGGAAAACGAATTCCATCGCCGCTGCCCACCCAGCAGTATAAATGGGTGACGTTGCAGTTAGCCGATCAGCAGGCTGCGTGTGGTGAGGCGGTGTGGGTGCTACCCACCTGTTTCAGGGCATCTGGCGGGCGTAGAATGATGGGCTGAAATTACCCTCTCGAGGGGCTCGGCAGAGCTCCCGCAGGCGGTGGCCCTTCTGCCAGCAGTGACGTGAGAGAGGAATTGCAGGCCTGCACCTTGACCTCACATTTTTATATTTGTAACGATGAGACAGTAGTCCATTTATCAATCTCTGCTGCTGTCAGTTGGAAACGTTTGCTAAAATGTATCTTCATGGTAACCTTAGACAAGGTGAACAGGGATGCAGTTCTTCAGGAACCGCTGATGGTTTTTGCATGACGCACACAGGCCGAGTGCTTTTTGAACGTGTTCTTGCGTGTTATTTGAAACATATGCTTTCTGTGTCATTATTACTACTTAAAATTATTAACTAATTTTCTTAAGTTGCGCGAAACATTTCTCAATGTTATATTCTTGGTTCTTTCGGTAAAGTCACGTAGAAGGGAAACAATAAAATAATTAAAAAATATAAAACATTTTATTGTTTCCCTTCTACGTGACTTTACCGAAAGAACCAAGAATATGAATCCCTGCAGTCACGAAAGCTTTAAATCAACATTTTTCAATGTTGTTTTGTTATTGTCATTTTGAACGCCCTAATTAGTATCATATATCTAAAAAAACTGCTTTCGTCTCACTGTCAATGCTCGTTAACAATTAATATTACAATAACAATTTATTTTTAAGAAATAAATTGTATCCTTCAGGCTTTGTTGAGTTGTTAATTGGGTGGAATTGGACATTATAAGCATTTGCCTAATTGAACTAATTTGAGAATTTTTTATTTTTATGATACAATTACATTTTTTTTTATTAATGATCTAGTCCGGTTTACCACATCATCAAACTAATGATTATTCAATTGTTTAAAATATGAATACCCAGAAATTCTGGTCTCTTCTTTTTTCTATTAACTGGGCATACCACAAACCATTTATTTGGCTGCGACTGCCACATAGTTCGCTGCTCTAGTTTGGCATCGCGGGCTATCTCTTAAAACTCAACAATGCGGTCATAATAAAGGTGTCTCTTAATTCTCCATGCCAGGTGCAGCCAAAAGGACATATTTTTGCGCACTGTAACACCCAGCCGGTCTCGAATTACATCTATTGGTTACACCTGGCCCTCTAAATGGACCCAGGGAGTGGCCTTGAAGGTGTTACCTGGCACTTAAGAGATCGTGACAGCTGATCAAACAGAGAGGCTCTCGGGCACACACTGGCTCTCAGAGAAGCCTCAATATTTCCGCACATATCCCAGGAATGCGTGACGTAACCACACCAAAGCGCGGTTGTGCTTTGTGTGCGCGCGCGGCTTGTACACATGCATGCATGCTTGTGTGTCGCCACTCGGCCACTTGTCCGGACTGTTTGCAAAATAAGAACATTCCTTTTGCCTCAAAAAGAATGCTTGAGAAAGTGGTGTGTGTGTGTGCAGCTCATGTTTGAGTCATCGTAATGAGTGGCACTGCGGCGCAGAAACATTTATTTAATTAAAAATTGCACGTGATTAAGTTTCTTTGTGAAAGGGGTTTTTGGGAAACAATTTAGAAGAGTTTGGTTGTATATAAGGGCTCTTCATTTGGAGCATCCCAGGGCACTTTACAATTATTATTACTTTAACCAGCTCAAAGAATAGAGCAACGCAAACAAATATGATTTAACAATTTTATTTGAAAGATTTGATTGTGCCAACAGATTTCCTGATTTGACTTGGAATCGAGTACCAGAGGCAGGATGTATAACAATTAAAAGCCATTGATTTTGCTCATTGTATATGGCTGCTAGGAATTTAGAATCAGGAAAGCCAGCACAGAAAGTATGACATTCATCAAAGAGAGAAATAGCAAGAAGCAATAACAAGCATCTCGGGATCTTTCAGATATAATTTATTTCAATTTTATGACATTCATTATAGATTTGAAGCTTTCGTGACTGCAATGATTCATACTCTTTGTTTTTTTTTCGGTAAAGTCACGTAGGTAAAATAAAATAAAAGAAAACAACTAAATTAAATCACGACGTTTCGGAGGCAACACAAGCTTCCGTCTTCAGGTGGAACAGTCACAGCAGAAGATCAGAAGATCTGTGTCAAGTGACACAGATCTTCTGCTGTGACTGTTCCACCTGAAGACGGAAGCTTGTGTTGCCTCTGAAACGTCGTGATTTAATTTAGTTGTTTTATGACATTCCTCAAATTATGACAACATGCTTGGCTTGTGAAGGATATATCAAATAGGCTCTCACAAGGCCTTGCTGTTTTTGCGTTGTTGCACAGGGCCTTGTCACCACAAATTCTCGGGATGGGGTCACTCGTAGGACCTCGCCAACGACCAATGATATCACAGCAAAGTTTTGTTGGTTGGGGTGGGGGATGGTGGGTGTGCGAGATGCCAGGATGGTTATCCTGGCTGACGGTGTTGTCCTGTCGTGTTGTCGGACTTTTCCTTGAACTCTGCTGATGTTGGGATCTATGGTAGGCTGTCATACCCTTCGTGCCTGGGTCATTGTTTGGCCTTTTGTGATGTCCTTGGCTCATTCTTTTACGTCTCGTTCTTTTCTTGACTTTTTACCCATTTCCCCTTTTTACCCCTACGAGTTTTTATTTTCCCGGTTTGTGTTTTATAAGGCACGTTGAGGTGTCATGGAATTTTAAATGCAAATCAGTATGCTTCAGCTTTAAATGAGCTTCATGGAAAACAAAATTATAGTTGTAAACTGCAATTCATGTCACACTTTTGGGCCTTGAGGTCTGAAGTTAGTTACCATGGACATAGGACGTAACTACATACTTTTGCATTAGGTTTTTGGGGTTGTACTGTAGCGATCTCCGATGTGTCTTCGGGGTTGTTTGGCACGATGTCCGACGTTTTGCCCCACGTGCTGGAAGAAGCTCCCAGCACGCAGAGACGAACAACGTGTGGGACGTCGTTAAAACCCATCGGAGAGTTACAGCACATACACGTTTGGCCGCTTTTCATCTTTATAATGTGTCCCAGCAGCACGCTACCGTGAGTTTATCTGCATCTTTGCAATAGTCCCCTTGTGTGACTTGGCTCTGTTTGATGTGCCACTGATGTGTGTTTTTGTTTTGATTTACGTCGAGCTCCCTGTGAACTCTCGAGCTCAGAGGGAAATGTTATAAATGCTTTGTCGCATTTTTAACTGCAGGCTGCTGGGGCTGTGTTTCATCAGCCTTTTCTCTGTGGCTTTGGGGCTGGACTTTGTCATCACACAAGCAACACTCTCGGAAGAAGGGTGTTTACAGTGGAGCGAGACATGGTTGACTGATCTAAAGTTTTTCCCGGTGATATGTGATAGCCTTTCTGGTGGTAGAATCTCTTTGAAATTCACATTCAACAAGAGGCTTGCTTGCTCAGAATTTCTGTAGCTGTTAGTCTTAAAATATGTAGCTGGTAAGACCTGGCTTAGGAGTACATGCTCATATATTTGTGAACAATAAATAACTTTAACGGACATTATTGCAGCTTTCTCAATTACGCAGTGGGAGTGGGAGGAAAATGTAATAAATCAGTGAATTGGAAAGCAGGGCAAATGAACTAAATTAATTAACAAGAACCTGGGATGACCTTGCAATAAATCTCCCAACGTATTCTGGAATAAATTATTGGTTTTGTTAATGCAGTACTGGGATTGGGTGTGGGAGTAGAGACCTCGGCTAATCAAAAGCAGAAAGGCCAAATAACCAAAAAGTGTCCTGCCCGTTGTTCTGCATGTGTGAGATTCCTGAAGTGAAATGACAGGAGCTTGTGCCATCAACTGCGCTAATAACGTCTGTGATGGATCGTGGCAAACACAAGCATCCTGTAAAACAATCCAGAGGGAACGATGTGACCGTCTTGTGAATGCCATGTGGCGGAATTCTTAAAGTTCAAGTCGCTTAGAAATCAGACGGGAGAAAAAAGCAAGTCATGCATTGGCATTTTGGGGTTAAATGCTAAATGCAGTACCTTGTTGAGGTGCTTTTACAAAAAAAAAACCCCAGGGTAATCTTGACCTTGACCTTGAAATGAGACTCTGCCAACAGGGACAAATTAGCTGAATATTTTTTTTTATTTCTTTATTTAGCATTGACCTGAGATGACCCAGAAATCCGAGGATTCACTTGACTGTGGTGACATTGAAAATTGCGGAAATCGCTTTAAAAAAAGTATATCTGTGTGCATTTTAGGTATGCATTTAATATTTTGATAAGTAAGCCTTATTACCATCACCCTAGCCACCAAATATGAGAGCCGTTTATTTTTTTTGCTGAGGTCACGCTCGAACTCTAAAATCTGTCATTTCTAACCTGGTCAAATTAACTGATTTCTGCTTGAAACCTACCCTCATTATCGCTCATGAAATCTGGTAAAGTATCAACATTCGCGAATTCTACTCTCGCCCCCCCATTTTCACAAGCCTAACCATCGCGAATGTTTAGGCCTTGCCATACGTCCATGCGTGTGCGTGCCTTTTTCTTACTTTCCCTGTTGTTTTCTTTACATTCACTTGTGACGGGTTCAGGCTCACAGCGACGGCGTCTGGCCCACCAGCCCCATCCGGCGGCTCCTCCTACGCTGCCGCCCGTGGACGTGCCGCCGTGCGTGCCGCCGTGCGTGCCGCCGTGCGTGTCGCCCGCGCGCAAGGCGCCCGCGCCGCCGCCCCGCCGCGCGGACCCCCGTCCCGCTCAGCGAGTCCTCAACGAGCCCTTCGAGATCAAGATCTACGAGATCGACGGCGTGCAGGCGGAGGTGAACACCGGCGCCCATCGATGGCGTCTTTAAACGAATTTGGGGGGCAGAAATATTTCGTCGGTGGAACGTTGACGTCGGGGGGGGGGGGGATGCGTTCCCGTAAAGGTGCGCCGACGAGAGTCGAAACGACGTGAATCAAAGCGATTTTACAGGCTTTGGCGATGGAGGCGAAAGGCTGAGAGGCCACGGATAATGAGAACGATTGGACGATGCCGTCGGCGACGTGAGTGTGGGGTTGAGCGACGCAAATCGGGTAGCGGTGTTAATAATTATAAAAGTGACGACGTATTTGCAAAACGACGTAAATGGGCCTATTCCTGTGTATGACTTTGGCCGACGATAATGACATTGGACGTAAATCACGGAGCGTTGTCGCCGACGACTGCTGCCGGCCAGAGACCAGAGCCTGAGGCCAACTGCAAAGATGAAATCAAAGACTCTGGATGAGGACGCAAACTCAAAACAGTTTGGTCACATTCACAATTATAAATTGTTCCTCTTTATTACTGCTACTCTTAATTATCATCAGCCATGATCAATCCACTTAAGGCCTTCATCCAGCAATGGATTGATTGATCATTGCTGATGATCATGATGAGTAACGTTATTTAGCGACAGCAACGCACCGAGGAAGGTCGAACACAGTAATTGCCTCTATACGTATGTCTAAAAAAATTAATTGAGTTAACCGATTATCTGAACGAATAATTAATTATAATTAATAAATGGCGGGGGGGGGGGGGAGTAGTTGTGGAAATTGAACGCCTCCTGACACCAACATTTAACAAATTAACAGGCTGTCATGGACTAGACGAACGTAATAAATACCGACTACCTTAGCATTGAGGAGACACTCCTCCCTGACGATGCCTCCAGCTGCTGCTCCACTTCTCGTACAGTACTCCCTCTCCTACGTGACTTTTCCCCGGCACCATTAACGCCCTTCTCAATGCACTACTGCCCTTTGCATTTGACACAGAAATGTACACCCCCCCCCCCCCGCCTTCTTTCCTCCTCCTCCTCGCTGCTGTGCTGTTTGTGAATCTGCACCACCGCAAGTGAACGTTTGCGAATGCGCGAGTTGTGCAAACGTCGCTACGCCGTCGCAGACGCACTTATCCCAAAGCCATCGGCTGTGGGGTGCAATCTTCCACTGAATTATAACCAGCTTGACAAGAGCCACATCATATTCTTAGCTCTTTCGGTAAAGTCACGTTGAAGGGAAACAATAAAATAATAAAATATATGTAAAACAATAAAAAAAATTCTCACGACGTTTCGACCATAACACAAACGGTCGTCATCAGGTGTGAATTACTGCAGTCACGAAAGCTTTAAATCAAAATTCAAGCGCCACATCAGTGAATAAATACATTGAGAGTTAAGAATTTATAATTGCACCAAAAATTTGGTTAAGTTTAATCTAGCTGTGAGTTACATACATTTTGAGTTACACAAAATAAAGTAATTAGTAATTGACCCGGATTTCCCAGTGATATTTATGTCTTGTTTCCGAAGACATCACTGCAGGATATGAGATTTGTAAAAACTTGTCAGGCGAAGCTCCTAAGCAGTGGTCCACGATTTACAAAATACTGTGCAATTTGTAGTACCCAATAGTACATCCGTCGTTCTCATCATATTCGGTCCAGAATCTAAGCAATGACTATCCTCTGCTTCGTTTTTAATTGTTGCCCTTTCTCGTTGTTGCTACTTTACACTTTTCTTTCCCGCTATTCCCATCTGCAAATAATAATAATCATGTATAAGTTCATGACGAGTTAATGTTGCGCTTAGTTTGGCCATCAGGGAAGTTGCTCTCTCTCTTTCTCAAGTAGATAAAAACAAAACTGCCACCGCTGTTGAAGGCATTAAAGTTTGGATAAAAATTTAAAAAGGATCCTCCGTGTGCAAGAGCTTTTCATTTAATATATCTTTTAAGAGGATATTAATGTATTCATTCTCCGTATACAGTATGTGTGTGCATTATGTATGAGCTGCCCTCCGAGCGTGTTCAGAAACGGAGGGGGAAAGGTCCAGATTTTATTAGCGTGGGGTATCCACCAAGGGGACCCCCAGGCGTGTCTCTGTTGAGCTGAGCACAACTCGCTAATGCAAGCGGGCAGATATTGAATTGCAACGGCATCAGCCTCCCGCTGCAGGGAATTCCAATACATCCCATCGTATCGGCCTTGCGCACGCAACGCTTCATAATGCCGCGTTGTCCCACGCCTAATCCTGACAAACGTGACATTTCAGCGACCGTTTCGGTCTCGTCTTTAAGTAAAAACAAAAAAATGCCTCAAATGACGTTAATTCCGTGTGATGTGATTTATGTCTCTTCCTTGCTTGCCGCTGTTTTCTTCTTCGTTATGCCTTCTCCTCCAGCCTTTTCAAGGTATTGATGAAGTAAGTCTTATGTTTTGCCGATAACATATTGCTCTCCCAGATCAACAGAAAGTCCCATCTTTTGTGGACCGAATTTGGTTACAACAAGAAGGGAGAAAGAAAAACATTCAATCGAGAGATGGAAAGGAATAGTAAAAAAAAAACGATGTCAAGCGTAAGCATTATTTTGACGTGGCAGTTGATGGAAATGTTTAAGTTACAGGGTCAGGAAATGGTATTTGAAATATCTGGTCTGGTCGGCTGTTGCCTTTATCGTAAATACTTAAAAATTCTCGGAGATGAAACTGGCATGGAGAATAACACCTTGTACGATGTCCGCTGGCAGTCACCTGAATTACAATCACGGCACAGCGCCAGAAATAAACCTCTGGTCTTTGACAAATGCCGTTCCGTGACCCTCTCACAAACACGGTAAGTTCAAAACGATCCATGTGAAACCACCAGTTCACGGTGCCAAGATGTGTTATTTTATATTTAAGTTATTTTTAAATCGGTAAATGCATCTTTGGATTGTTTAATATTTAATATATGCGACTTGCATTAATTATCAGCAGATGAGAATTTAGTGATTCTTCAAAGCCACGTTTGAACTCTGCAGGAAGGTGGACCAAATGTAAATGTTGACCCCCACGATTCTTGATCTGGGAGGGCTATAGACACATTGATTCATCGCTTTGTTACATCAGCTTTTGTGGCTCTCAAGTGCTGCGAGATTTATGCTGCCCCCTTACGTGGAATTTCTCGGATTTTTTCAATTTCTCAGCTCCTCCACGTCCATTTTTTTTGGTTGCTCCCTCGAAACATTTTGAGTGGAATGTACCCAATATCACTTCGCTCTCAATCAGTCTTGTTTAATGTCACACCGACACGTGGCATCTCAGAGTGAATCCATGAGTCGGCTTTAATGCCTTTTAATCAGAGCTGTGTAATTAAACCCAGGTTCATGGCAGAGTCAGATTTTACTCGGGGAGTCGGGTCACGTGTGCTCAATTCAGAGGCGCAGACACTGTGTTGGCAAGTGGCGGGTGTCCGGGAGCGGTGGTTATCCGAGAGCGGTGGTTGTCCGGGAGGGGTGGGTTTCAGGTGGTAGATAAAGAGGTCCATCGATGAGAATGTCTCCATTTCGATGAAGAGGGCGTCATTCTCCAAACGATGCCCCCACACACCTGCACCCCATCACGTAACCCTTGGTGCGGGTGCATGCACGCGCGTGTGTGTGCAAGTGGCTCATTCATTGTGGACTATGCCATCTCTTTAATGGGCAAGTGTCAGCCCTGCTCATTACCCCTTTACCCCTGGGGCAAAACAGTTAAATCTATTATTAATACATTTCCATGTGGCCCTTGGTAATTTTAGTCCATTGCCACCGTGCTCATTAAAGCAAAACAGACCTTGCTGCGATTTCAGGTTTGCTACACAGCCCTGCATTCAAAGTGCCCATTGTTTCGCATTTTTGAGTCCCCTCTTGATGGCTTAATGTATTAATTATACGTCACTGTTAATTTGCATATGAAATGAGCTGATACCCTTTACTGGTCGAAGCACTTTCGGCCATATGACCAATTAATGGGAGGGCGGGGGGGGACATAGATGGGTCAGTGGCTAGAAAGATCTTAATTAAAAATATATAACAAAATAAAAAAAATGTTGTTTCACTGACATCATATACCCCGATGTTTAAAATGACCACAAAGCATTTCAATAATGCCAAACGAAGGGATGACATTGTGTTTACACGTCTTCATAAACGTTTAATTGTTATGGTAACAATTCAGATACATATTATTAGGGGAAAACTTGACTCACCGATGCGCTGCTCATCTTTCAATCAGTTGGGCCCGCAATCCTCAGTTTGGAGAGCGGTGCAGATACATTCGTGCCGTTTTGTGAGAGGCCAAATTTTGTTCTGACGTCCGAGGGCGTTCTCGTTAAATGACAGTCGATCCCGGGGGGCCCCCACCACGACTGCCTCTCACTCCTCCCTTACGCTGACCCCAGACTCCCCCCTCCCCCCCGTGTGTGCACGCGTCCTCCGCGTGCCGTCCCCCACGCCCCCCCCACGCCCCGCTGCCCCCCAGCTCCTGGTCTACTTCAGCGACCGGCTGAAGCGGGTCGAGGAGCGGCACCAGCGGCTGTCGGAGCTGCAGGACAGGTATCTGGCGCTGCGCCTCGAGCTGGAAGCCTCCATGCGCCACCTCATGATCGAGCCAAGCAAGTGGACCGCCGAGTGTAAGCGTCGGCACCCCCCCCCCTCCCCCCTCTGAGAATCCCGGCGTGAGCAGCGAGCCGCAGTGCCACTTCCAGGCCCCCCCCCTCCCGCCGATGAAGCGTTTCTTGCATGGCGAGATGTTAACGACCTCACCTGGTATACAGGAGGTGAGGTTCGTGGGTTTGGCCCCGTCCCTGACGGTCGCCCTGATTTAAACTGCTAGTGTGCTAAACGTGAATATCCGCCGCCGTCTGCTTCACAGTAGACTTTTAAATATCCCCGTGACGTCTTTCGCCCACCAGAGTAGCTCATAATGTGTCGGCATCATGCTCTAAATTTGCCATATTTTTTTATCCGCAGTTTACTCAAATGGGATTATACATGGCAACCAAACCAACACCCCCTCCCCCCCCCCCCCCCCCCCGAGTGTGAAAACTTGGAAGGAAATAAGAGCCACGAGGCTTTACCGGGTAAACAAGGACAACAATAATAATGATGGATAATAGTGTCAGTGTTAAGCGCTGTAATAGAATGTGCGTAATAGTCACCAGCCGCCATTATTATAATCGTCGTCGTCATGGTGACGGTCTCGGCGCTTGTCTCTGGGCGTGAAGTTGAGGTGGACGGCGAGCTGGACGAGGCCTCGCTGGAGTACCTCGACTGCCTGGAGCGCGCCACCGAGCGCCTGGAGCAGCGCCTCAACGTCTGCAAGTCGCACATCATGATCATCACCTGCTTCGACGCCACGCGTTGACGACGCAGCACTACTTGGCGCGCGCTCGCGCCGGGGAGTCGAGGGTTGGGGAGAGGCGGAGAGGCGGTGGCTGGGGGGGGGGAGAAGAGAGGCGGACGAGCGTAGACGAGGCGGAGCGGGGGGCTGCATTGGCGGTATCTGGGAGAGGGGACTTGAGGGGTAAACGCCGGCCACCACATTGTTGATATTCGTAGCGAACGAAAGAGGGGGTTTTTGACCGCAGTGCTTACTTAACTCCTATCGCTTCGCTGCGAGCAAAAACTAAAAAGCAGGCTTGTTTGCATTTATTGGAGACACTTTTCCCCGTGCTTTTCAATGCCATTTGTCGATGCTGTCATGGTCGTGGTACCAACGATTTGGCCCGCCGCAAAGCAATTCGCCGGTCAACCTGCCTGCCATTCCCTCGCACGCTCCAACGAGGGAACAGAGGCAGTTGTGGATGGAGACCCTCCCTGATGGGAGGAAGATTGGATGTATACCGTATATACATGCAGCATATGCAGCATATGGTTTTGTCTAGGCATGTGAATCTTCTGCTGTGGTGCTAAATGAGTATCTTTCACTCCAAGCCAATATTTCTAAATTAAGCCCAAGGTAGCGCGTCTTAACTTCCATTGTAACCACGCAGCTCCTCGTCCCCTTCAACTGCCTGAAGTGTTTTCGGGTCGTCTTCATTGCTGCGGGTTTTTGTGATGCCGAGTTCGGAAGTTTTTTTCTACGGAGCACCGCCATTCAGATCGGGGTCCGCGCGCGTCCCCTTGTGATCGAACAGCACTCTCATCAGGGCTGCGTCCACCAGCGTTTCACTGAAACAGCCATATCCAGAATATGGAAAACGCATGGCTACGGAACCGCAGGTCGGCGTGCGAAAATCAAGCGCGCGTCTGAGGGATTTTAAACTTCGTCATTGCCGCGATGGCAGGAAGCACGTGTCCATCCCATGCCACCTCTGGAAAAAGGAAGCCTGGTTTGTGGGACTTCAAGTTACGTTGCAACGACAGTGAAAGGGTTGGTGGAGAAGGGGAATGTGATTCTGGGAAGTGGAGGTCGGAACTGGTAAAATGACATTGGGAGATGTTTGTCAACACGGCGCGAGACATAAATATGGGGATGGCCGATAACATCGTGGTAGGATTTTTTTCTTCTTCTTGGGTTGGATTTGTTGACGATCCCTTACGATGGTATCGTGCTAATAGCAGGAATGTGCAGGCTACGTGGAATGTAGGCGATTTGCAAGTGGTCAGGCTGGTGAGAAAAATTGGGCTTGAGCAGATTTTTTTTTTTCCTGGAAGATACCTCGTGTGGGACACTGACATTTTTTGACAGCTCGAGGTGGCATGAAGTGACATGAAGACCATAGAGTTCTGCAGGGCGGTGTATCAAACTTTGTAAAGTTGTATATCGTAGGTCGCAAGTGCATTGTGAAGTGCCAAATGAGTCGTTGAAGTAATATTTGTTGCCGGGGCATGGAGTGATGTGGCGGTGAATGGTTTTCCATGCGGTGGTCATGCATTAGCCAATAATCATGCTTTTTCTTCTTGGCAGCAAGTTTACCCTTTTATTATTTATTTTTTCCTTTGTTAAAAAATTATAATAATGATTTACAGCCCTTTGGCAATCAACTGCTGGATGAATGCCTCTCCACGTCAGTCGTGGGCGGGTTGTTTGACCATACTTCACTATTCTGGTTTGTGTGGGTTGGTGAGGGATGGGAAGGAGAGACAGTATCGGTTCTGGTATCATTCGCCACTGATGTTTGCTGTAGTCGGCAATTGGACTCCGGTCTCCGGGTTCATAGAGTGCACTGGGTTAATCGATGCACCACCGCTCATCCATTCTTCTTTTTTATAAATAAGGAAAAAACAAAATGGTTTTCACTTTTGAAAACGGAACAGAGTGAAGCAGTGAAATGTGCCCGATGCACTTTGAAGAAATGACATCACATGCATCTGAATGAGCCCTTGATGTTGATGCGTGTGCTTCCAGCAAGGAGATTTGCTTTCTGCATGCTTTGGAAGTCAGAAATATATATATATGGTTTAAACAAAGTTCATCAAATGTGTTTTGCAAGAAAGAAAATGGCACTGGTATTTGAGATATGGGCAAATTCATGAACTGACCTCTCTGGTTTACGTGCCATTGCTCAGTAGCTGGCAGGGGATTGAGGGCTTTAAGAAAAGATTACCGTGGGTGGGTTCACAGCAAAGGTCCGATCATAGGTGAAGTGGAAAGGCCAGAGTTGCGAGATTGAGTGGCACGCGGCTGAATTGGACAGGTCAGAATTTTGTTTAGAAAGCAAAACGGAATGGCAGGAGTGAGCACTCCCACTATTACACATCATCGTTCACAGCACGAGGATGGCTTTAGGGAAGCACAGCTTAGGAAAACGTTCACCAAAGGATTGATTGATGTCAAAAACATAAAAATGTTATGGGACAAAGTGGATGTGTGAAAAAACAAAAAAACTCAACAGACAATTCCAGGAATTACATAAATGTGTGCAGTGTTTGTGCCCAAAGTACTGTTTATATATATATACTTAGGGGAGGAAGTGCAGCATGTATCCAGCTGGCTGCTTAAAACCCAAGGATATTTCCAGGAGGCTCTGTATTTTTTTTAAATGTCTAATTCCAGGAGGGCGCAGGTTCGGGCGTTATTCATTCATCGGTTGACAAAATAAAATGTTGAAGGTTGAACAGTGGAAAAATGGCATTTAACGTTGAGGGCAAATGACAATACAAAAAAATATGTACCTTCATGGAACGCATGAAAGACAAATGCTGATTGGAAAAAAGCAACAAAAACGCCTTTTTAAAAATCATATTTGCAAATAAGTCGGTGTCAAGCATTGAAATTGCTTTGGACAGAGCAACCAAATCTGAAACCATAAGTACTGGAAATATAGAAGACTTATTTCGGTCTTGCTAAGTGAATGCAGCTGTTTTGTTCTTTGAGGCCTTTTTTCAGGCAGGTTTCAAAGGCTTTTGCAATGTCGTGGAATCCTGTTAATTTTAGTGATTGAAGAAAATTACCATTTAAGTTCAGATTTTTACATTGAACATCTGCATTTTGTGAAGGGTCCTCTCCATCCATTTCCTATGTTGCACTTCTATATACGGTATATACATGTTTGAAGGTTAACCTTCATTTACAATGTCATTGAAAAAACCCTACATATGCCTACAGTCTTTAATGTTTCACAACATATTATAATCGAACACTTTTTACTTTGGAAAATGTAAAATAGATTATTTAATTTAGTGTTATTAATTTTAACACAAAAGTGCCTTATTTTGACGGCTGGTAAATATCCCAATCAAAGTAGAGCGCAGTTGTATAACACCCAACAGAAAGCTGTCGCTTCCCGACGCATCGTGCAAATTCATTTTTGATAATCACAAGATATTGCATTTTAAAACTATGAATATAATGCCGGCAAATATGGTTGTTAAAACCCAGTGGGGGAAAAAAAACGTCCCCTGCAGTGTTGTCACTGCCATCCTGTGTTCAGTCTGGGATGCCTTTTGTGTGGAATAAAATTATCGTTACCGACGGCATCTGCACAGGCTCTCTTAGAAAGAACTTCCTTAAATCGCTCTCGAATTTACACCCCAGGAGGATTGTGGAGGTGAGTGACTTTACTTACTAACCTGGGGGACAGGTGACCAGCCACCATGCCTAAACCACCTTTCGTTGTCTTAAAACTGCTGCAAGGTGGCCCCCTTTTTTTCAGGCCAAGTCAAACTTCGAGGGGCATTCACCACAACAACCGAGCTACGTTGAGTACAACCGTGACCAGTGTTTGCTCATTTTAGGGCGAGTTGGCCTAAAGGTCGTCAATGAGGTGTGTGACGGCTTGGGTTGTGTAAAAAAATATTCTCATAAAATACTTGCCTCTGTTTTCACAAAAAAACTAATTACGCAGACTGTTATGACTGCATCGAAGCCAGATCTGTAAACCCATGGGTTGCTGACCATGGAAATTGATTTGTCAAACTGCCTGACAGCTAAGCAGATGGCAGGTTCCTAAAAGGTGCTCTTTTTATTCCAGTCATGACATGGTAATTTCCAGCTGTTGACTCTGGTTTTATAAGCAGAGGAGCAGTCTGCGTGCTGCTGAATTGCCCAGTCAAACAAGTACGCGTGTGTGGGCATTTGAGGACCAAAAAACAAAACCGCTTTCATGGTTATGGCAAACTCGTTAATCTTACGAATATTTGATCGACGAAACAGCATGCTCATTTAAAAATATACGGCGTACACATTTAGCTTGTTTTAAAAATTCTTCTTCGCTTTTGGGTCTTCGAATCTTTCAAATATTAAATAAAATGTGCAACCCCCTCTGCTCCCCTCTTAACCCCCTCCCGGAAAGCCCAAAACCGATGGTGTTATTGTAACGGAGCTGTAGATTTTAATTAGAAAACCCCCCGATGCTGCTTGCTTCTGACTTTTGTTCTTCAGACGAACACAAATAGCCCTCCCAACACGATCTGCATGAACATTTTAACGATTAATTTTCGAACACAAGTGCTTGCCGCTTATATCACGCCTTCCGAGATTTTTGTTTTTGCACGGTGGCTTTGGTGAGCCCAATGCCGATGTAAATATGCTCGAAATGTAAATATTCACCCGGTTTAATTATGTGTGCAGCGTTAGGTGGTTGAAGGGGGAACATTGTATCTGGCTTGATAGCACTAGTGTTGTCGGGGGAGGTGTAGGTGTGCTTATGTTGAACTTCTTTCGCACCGTATGTAGACGCTAACCATGCTAATCGGGGGTGCGGGAGAAGGGCAACAAAATAAATAAATAAAACCGTTCTTAAGAATTGAGTTTTCAATATGAGATTGTTTTAAAAATGCGTATTTAAACAATATATAGTGTTGCAAAGGGTAAAGGCGACGCCGTGCAACTGCTCGCTCATGTCTCTGCTGGCAGAAGAGCCTCCGCTAGAGGGAGCTCTGGAGAGCCACGGGAGAAGGTTTTTTGGCCTACTCTTCCACGCTTGGCCAGATGCCTTGGCAGACACGGGAGTACCAACACTGTACCCCACCACACATGACCAGCCGATTGACTCATTGAGTGTATGTATTTTGTATAAAATATGAATTGTTTATAGCATGTATTGCTATTCGAGTTGAAAACGTGGCTTTATCTCCTCCATGCCACCGATAACATCTCCCCCAAACAGTTCGTGGCACCGCCTGACTGCAGGAATTGAGTCCTGTGCTGTTCGTGCACACGTTGCCCGTGTCCGTGTGGGTGTGTGTTTGACCACGTGGAGCAATGCATGCAGGGTGTTAAACAACTACAGTCTCGGTGTGTAAACGTGTTCGTGGGTTCCGCATCGCCGTCTTTGGGGGCACCCTTCTCTTTCAGAATGGCGAACATAAATTCTGAAATGTGCGTTTTTTTTTACTGAAAATATGAAATAGGAGTTATTGAGTGTCGTATGCATTGATTGATGAGAGAGTGAGACGTGAGAAATTGCACTTTTGAATTCAGCAGGTTTTTATTGTTTTGTCAAAATTCGGTCGCAGTGAGATGCATTGCTGTTGTAAATCGCCTTATTCTTTGGAGACTTGGTAGGAAATATATGAGATCCAGAGAGTAATTCACATGCATGGAAGCTTTTATCAATACGGTATATATTAGATATGTGGCACAATGGTAAACTGATAATGCTTGTTGTATCTAGGTGCAGTCACTGTGTCCCAAACTCCAAATCACGATTCTTCTTGTTCAATTAAAAACAGAGCCATGAATGTTCACTGAGATGGGTATTTTCTGTTCGTTTTTGTTGTGCTGTAATTGCCGTTTGTCTGCTTTGTTAGCCCACCTTACTGGCGATTGTTTTCTTTTTTACTCCAAGACTGAAGCCTCAAAATCATTTGGAGACGTAGGTCAAAGAAGCCATGCAAGTCTAATGTATATTGCTCATTAAAACAAGGGTAAACATTATTTAAGTTGTTAGCAAGGCCCAGGGTAAACAATTTGCCAGGTGAATTTTGATTTCAAACACGAAGACTGAACAGAATAGCCTCTTGTAAATTGGGTGAAATCTGGAAGCATAATAAATTGATCAGCTGTACAAGTTAGCACGCCCGGCTGTGCAGGTCTCACTCCCGAGATCACGGGTCACATTGTGCAAGGAGGAATATAGTTGCTGCATGTTGGGTGTCGCGATATGTCGTGGGATTTCCATTCCTCACGATGGACACCATCTCATGTTAGTCTCGTCACGGATGATTCCCTGTGGAGCAAGGCTGGGATTGCACAGCTGGTGCCAACACAGGGGCTGGAATAAAACATTTAAAATGCCTCGTGCCACTTTTCGACACGCTAAGATTTACTCGTTACGGCAATAAGGGTCGAAACCACAATTCTGCTTTGGTGAATTTGCTGAGTTTTTTTTTATATAATTAATTTGCTTGAGCTCGGATACAATCAAGGTGATGAACGTGTTACATGCTTTGTAAAATATATATTTTGCTTTCCTTTTCGTTTGTGACGGCAATGCGGCGATGGTGTATTGGCGAGTACGAGATGCTCGCCGTTGCACCCGTTATGTTATCGCGTGTCCGTATACGCGTGTCTTGAGCGTGCACATTAAGCGACGGCGCTTGTTTTGAGCACGGGTGGCCGTTATGACTTGGGATTTTAGCAAGAATGCGCGGAGCTGCACGGTCCAAACACATGGCAAACATTTGCATGCCACTTGATGGTATTAATTACCCTGCAAATGCCTGGCCTGAGCTACACATACTCCCTAATTTGAATATAAATTTATGTTACATGAATGTGTCATTTAATTACGCGTAATAATTTAGGATGATTTAAATTGCCCAAAAAACGGAAAGCTTCCCGTCATCTTACCAAGTTTAGCCCAATGAATAATTGCCACCCTAATTACTGTACGCCATTTAGTATTCCCAAAGTCGGAAAATCGGTAGAGTTGCAGAGTTAAAGTATTGCCAGACTCGTGTGTGGAGCATGGTTTGTTTGAGTTGGTAGCACTTTGCATCCCTGAATATGACCCATGCGTGTAAAAAAAAAAAACACGTGCCGTTGGCAGTACAATCCAATAGACAAGTGAAAGTGTATGATATTGGCTCAATCCCTAGTCATAACAGAGTGCGAATTCTTGTGTTTGTATATACATGGAACGACTGTACAGATGTGTTGCAACGCTATTGGCTATATCATATATAAGTATGCATATTCGCAAGCGCGACTCGGTCTGTATATGCACAGTGCTATGATCTGCTTCAAGTTGCACCATGACCTACAGTGTAAGCCAAAATAAACAAAAAACTTCATGAACCGTCAACGTTTTGTTGATCTGTTCTATAATGGTGGACTAATCCAGAGACCTGGTACGTGGAGGGTACAAGGTCTGTGGCGCCTTTCTGGAAGGTGGTTAAGGCATTATTACCACGCCGGGTGCTACGATATGGAGAGGTTGCGTTGGAGGGCAGGGTAATTGGTAGAAGCAGACTCTCGCTAAACTTGTCGTATAAACGCATAGTAGGGGCGTATAACAACCATATTCCGGAGTAAAAGTGAACACAAGTACAAACTTGCGCGAGAAACCTAACACCTTTTAACCTTCCTTTATTCCTGGAATAAATTTCCTCCGCTGCCACTTTGCAGCGTGTCGCAGCATTTTGATGTCACGACATTTCAACTTTTTAACTCTCATCCCCCCCCGCACAAAAAAATATGAAACACGGCTTCTCGAGTATTTTCTTGGAAACTTAAGATGATCGTTCCGCCAGGTTCTGTTTTGAACAAAGTGCTCATTGATGTGCCTTCCCGCGCTGTGCGATTGTGCATTGTGACCCACGGGAGAGGTGAGAGAGAGGAGAGGGGGGGGGTATAAGGAGGCCGTGTTCTTCCCAGATTTGTGAGTGAAGGCTCTCAACGCGACCGTGTCAGGCGTCGTAATGTAACACCCCGAGCTGCCCGCCTTGAAGGTCATCACGTGTCTCTCAAATTAAACGCCGCACCTGTAAATGGACGCTGCCGTGATGTCGCGGTTGGAGCACTGGACTTGCAATCCCTCCAAACACCCCGCCGCCCCAGTGCACCCAGCACGATAAGTGGATTGGCGGGTCTCGTTTGGTGGGGTAATGGGTGGGGTACTCTCTCGTTTTCCACGATGTCTGGCCAATGTGGAAGAGTTGGCCAAGAATTCCCTCGGGAGGAGCTGTCGAGCTCTCTCTTTTGGGAGGCCTCTTCCCCCAGCGGCGGCCTGAGCAAGCAATTGCAGATTTTTCACCTTTACCACTTTTTTGTAAATACAATACACTCCAGCTGCTCAGGCTGCGTATAAAAATGAACGTGTGTTTGTATATGCAGGTTATTTTTCTTCTGCCTGTTTGGGTGCTTGGTAGGTGGGGAACGACCAATGGATCATTTTCTTTTGATTTGTATCCCTCATTCATTTATATTAAATTATTTTCAGTGGATTACAACCTTTGCACTCTTTTAATTCATCAACATCACATTTGATGACTGGTATTATTCATGAGTAGGGGTTTTTGAGTGATCAGTGTTGCAGTTAAATTTTCCAGCCTTCCTTTGCCCCAACACTTTATAATCCTAGTGTGTATGTTATATGTCAAAAGGACACACACATTAACTATAGTAGCAGTGCTCATAATAATAAAATAACAATCTGCAGGCCTTTGTCAAGCCAGGCTATGCCAGCCATGGGGATCGGTTGACCATACTTCACCACACTCGTCAAAGTCAATCGGTGAAAAAGCGTCCCCAGGACTGGTGGAGATACCACATCCCCCCCCCCCCCCCCATCGATGCTCGCTGAGGTTGGGACTCAAACTCAGGTCGCCGAGTTCAAAGTGCACAGAACACGCCGCCTCATCTCACCCCGGGACGCGCGGGTGAGTGGTGATGAAATGTGCGGCACGTCGAGTCATCGTGCGCTGCTTTTGCAAACCACGAGTTTATTCGCGGAGTAATTTCCATGCACTGCTGTTTCTATTCAAGGGGTTTTTGTATCATTATTATTATTATTGTCGTGCGTATTGTATAAGCTGCATACACACAAGTATGTACAATACACGGTACCATAAGCCGGACGAGGCCGCTTGTACATGAGGCATACAAAGCAGCAATAAATAATGCAGGCGGCGTGCCCGGCTATTAAGGTGCCAGCACATTTTAAATTATCGCTCCCCGCAGGTAGATAGCGGGGCCCCACTCCGGATCGCGCATCTCCGGCGTGGCTTGTCGCTGTAAGAAGGTTAATTTGCTTCCGTGTAATTACCACGCTGATTTAGGAGAGAGGGGCCAGCACCCCAAAGGGGTTGCTCGATGCCACCACCACCACCACCACCCCCACGCCCCCCCGTTTCCTTGAACAATCTCTGGCGTTGTAATTCTTCGGCGGGGGAGTGTGGGCAAGGTGCGCGCGACCATCGGTGTGTGGGCCACTCAAATGGTGCAGGCGAATGGATGCACGGCTGCAGAGTCCGAAGCTGCAGGAGGGGCATTTTGTTGCAAGTCGTGGGGCTGCGTGCTCAAGGTGACCCCCGTTGAATGACGGCGTACAGTTCCAAATGTTCATTAATAGACTTCTAATTTCTCGTCAATTCACCACCGCCAGTCGCCATCATCAATCATCGTCATCCATAATTTTTTTTTTATGCTGAGTATAGTGAACAGAAAAAAATAACACGAATGCAGTCACAACCATCTGGAATTACCAAAATGTTTAGTTTTTTTTTTAACCAAAACAATGTAAAATGCCAATGTGTAATCGTCATCAGCCGTGGTTAATCCACTGCTGGATGAAGACATTCCCAAGCCAACATCACCTCTCACGATCCTGCGATGTAATGTTCCACCAGGAACCCATATGTTGCCATTCATATCCTTTGTCACGAGTCTCATATTGCTATCAAAGTGTGTGTTAGGTCTACGACTTGCATATTTCCACCGGGTCTAGGGGATTAAACGAAGCGGCTGTGAATAGGTACCACGACGTCTGGGTTTGTTCGTGTCACGGGTGAGTGACGGTGCCGTCCAACGTGACGCAACGCGCTTACTGTCAAGTCCAAGGTGAAGATGGATTCGATATTTTGAGATGACGGTGATGGGACACACGCACGCGCGCACAGGTGTCACTAAAGATGCACGTAAGGAAACACATTGTAAACCATCGCTGGGAATAAGACAGACCCTAAATAATTATGCTCGGGTAACGTTCTCGCCCACGTTTCACCGTTAAACACCACAAGCAGCGCGGAATGCGCCTATTGCATTGCATGCACAGCGAGCTCCATTACACTGACTGTGTAATTCACCCTCGCAGGAGGCGCCCTGTGTGTGTGTGCGTGCGTGTGCAGGTGTGTTTTTACACGTGTGGACGGAGATGGCACGACTTCCTGGAGCTTTCGCGATAATGGCGCTTTGTGCAAAGTGTTCTCTCCGCAGGCTCTTGCTATAATGATGTGATTGTTATTTTAGATTACGTGGTGTAAAGTTGTTTTATTACCCACAGGAGGCGGGGGGAGGATCGGGCGAGTGAAATGGGGTTTCAGCCTCTGCAGTGGAATCCGCGCACAATAATCCATTAATGGAACAATGGGGGGAAGAGTCGTGGCCGAGCACAAAATGTAACTTTCCTGGCCGAGTATCGGCAACACATTTCAAGACGTTTGCTTTGCATTGCCGATCAGTTGAGACGAAGTTCTTAATTTTATTTCACCAAACTCAAAGATCAAGACCAAGAAGTCATCGCGGCCAAAGCCATCGATGCCACCACCACCACCACCTCATCCCCAACGCTTTCCGCCCTCCGCCAGATCCCGCAGCTCCCGCTCAGTCGACACGCAGCCTCCAAGATTGGCCCTGGCAGTTTCCCATCATCTGCCCCTCAGCTCTTCCCCTTGTTCGCCAGACTCGTGGATACCTCTCCAATGCCTGCCTCAGTAGTCCGCCCTCGTCCATCCTGCACACGTGTTCAGCCCAAGCCACGTGTGACACCCTGACTCGTTATATCTACAACGCTCACCTGCCACGCTCTCTTCCGGACTTCTGCGTTGCTTATCCTGGCTTGCCATTAATCAACCATGGTGGGTGGCGTTTTTTTTTCTTTCTTCAAGCAAAGCAAGCAGTTCCCATGTCATTCCCACCACATTATTCAACGATAGCCTTGGTGAGTGGGGAGAAACAAGTATGTTTTTTTTTATGGTGAAACATTTTAAAGCAAAATTGGCACTCGAACAACTACGCGACATTCACAAAAATCCCATCAATTTTCCGAGCAACCGGAAGCCGCAATTAATCAACTGTCGTCACAATGACACGAGCCGAGCATAACCACCGATCTGAACACCTCCTGTTGAAACGAAGGATTCTTCGACGCGCGAAACGGCGAGTCCCAGAACGCATGCCGCCTCTCGAGCCGAAACCTCCCTCCCCTCGTCGTAGGGGCCGTCCATAAATGACGTCACGCGATTTTGGACGATTTTTGCCCCCCCCCCTAAAATATGACGTCACAAAGCTCTGCCCCCCCCCAAAACCATATTTCCATTTTGAAAATAAAACATGCTTCAAATCGCTTTAAACGATTGTCATTGTAGTACGTATTTAATGTGGCGCTGCACTCTGATTTTGTAGGAGTGTTATAACAATTAGTGTTGTTATAACAATTCTATATTTATTTAAAGTTGCGCATTTTGATGTGACGTCACATTTCTCACCCACCCCCCCCCCTCGTCACACACCGTCACAAATGTCTGACCCCCCACCCCCTTAGGTGCGTGACGTCATTTATGGACGGCCCCGTATTGCACGACTTAGTTTACATTCATGACGTTCACGAAGGTGCATATGCGCACGTAGATCTTTTGATTTTGTCCTTTTAACTATTCAGTACTTAAAAAAAGAAGGTGAATGTTGACCATGAAACATGACACTCGTGTTCAATGCACGTTCCTCTTGCAGGGGTGCTGCCGTAGTGTGATTGGGTAGCACACTGGACTTGCAATCAACAGGTCACCGAGTTGACCTCCTGGTGCGGCAGTTGAAAAGCATGCGAGGGAAATGGCGCTCCACAGTTAGACAATGGATGAGTCGCCATGTGCTGGGACACTCCAGCCTCTTCCTATACGTCTGTCCAGCATGGAAGAGTCGCTCTCTGGAGCTTCCCCTCTCTAGTGGAGGACATTCAGCCAGCAGTGGAGTTATCGAGCAATTGCTGCACCTTTGCCTCTTTGCATGCTTTCGGCAAGATGTAACGCCTGTGATATGGCTGTCCCGATGTGGGCAGTCTCCTCATTCTTTTCGGGAAAGTTTCTA